GTGTTCCCTTCATATCACGACTAGGTATATCCATGTGTGTTTTGACGAGAGCGAGGTGGGCTGTGTTCCCTTCATGTCACGACTAGGTATGTCCATGTGTGTTTTGACGAGAGCGAGGTGGGCTGTGTTCCCTTCATATCACGACTAGGTATATCCATGTGTGTTTTGACGAGAGCGAGGTGGGCTGTGTTCCCTTCATATCACGACTAGGTATATCCATGTGTGTTTTGACGAGAGCGAGGTGGGCTGTGTTCCCTTCATATCACGACTAGGTATATCCATCTGTGTTTTGACGAGAGCGAGGTTGGCTGTGTTCCCTTGATATCCCGACTAGGTATATCCATGTGTGTTTTGACCAGAGCGAGGTGGGTTGTGTTCGCTTCATATCCCGACTAGGTATATCCATGTGTTTTGACGAGAGCGAGGTGGGTTGTGTTCGCTTAATATCACGACTCGGTATATCCAAGTGTGTTTTGACGAGAGCGAGGTGGGGCTGTGTTCCCTTCATATCACGACTAGGTATATCCATGTGTGTTTTGACGAGAGCGAGTTGGGGCTGTGTTCCCTTCATATCACGACTAGGTATATCCATGTGTGTTTTGACGAAAGCGAGGTTGGCTGTGTTCCCTTCATATCACGACTAGGTATATCCATGTGTGTTTTGACGAGAGCGAGGTGGACTGTGTTCGCTTCATATCACGACTAGCTATATCCATGTGTGTTTTGACGAGAGCGAGGTGGGCTGTGTTCCCTTCATATCGCGACTAGGTATATCCATGTGTGTTTTGACGAGAGCGAGGTGGGCTGTGTTCCCTTGATATCACGACTAGGTATATCCATGTGTGTTTTGACCAGAGCGAGGTGGGTTGTGTTCGCTTCATATCCCGACTAGGTATAGCCATGTGTTTTGACGAGAGCGAGGTGGGTTGTGTTCGCTTCATATCAAGACTAGGTATATCCAAGTGTGTTTTGACGAGAGCGAGGTGGGCCTGTGTTCCCTTCATATCACGACTAGGTATATCCATGTGTGTTTTGACGAGAGCGAGTTGGGGCTGTGTTCCCTTCATATCAGGACTAGGTATATCCATGTGTGTTTTGACGAGAGCGAGGTTGGCTGTGTTCCCTTCATATCACGACTAGGTTTATCCATGTGTGTTTTGACGAGAGCGAGGTGGACTGTGTTTGCTTCATATCACGACTAGGTATATCCATGTGTGTTTTGACGAGAGCGAGGTGGACTGTGTTCCCTTCATATCGCGACTAGGTATATCCATGTGTGTTTTGACGAGAGCGAGGTGGGCTGTGTTCCCTTCATATCACGACTAGGTTTATCCATGTGTGTTTTGACGAGAGCGAGGTGGGCTGTGTTCCCTTCATATCACGACTAGGTATATCCATGTGTGTTTTGACGAGAGCGAGGTGGGCTGTGTTCCCTTGATATCACGACTAGGTATATCGATGTGTGTTTTGACGAGAGCGAGGTGGGCTGTGTTCGCTTCATATCCCGACTAGGTATATCCATGTGTGTTTTGACGAGAGCGAGGTTGGCTGTGTTCCCTTTATATCACGACTAGGTATATCCATGTGTGTTTTGACGAGAGCGAGGTGGGCTGTGTTCCCTTCATATCACGACTAGGTATATCCATGTGTGTTTTGACGAGAGAGAGGTGGACTGTGTTCGCTTCATATCACGACTAGGTATATCCATGTGTGTTTTGATGAGAGCGAGGTGGGCTGTGTTCCCTTCATGTCACGACTAGGTATGTCCATGTGTGTTTTGACGAGAGCGAGGTGGGCTGTGTTCGCTTCATATCACCACTAGGTATATCCATGTGTGTTTTGACGAGAGCGAGGTGGGCTGTGTTCCCTTCATATCACGACTAGGTATATCCATGTGTGTTTTGACGAGAGCGAGGTGGGCTGTGTTCCCTTCATATCACGACTAGGTATATCCATCTGTGTTTTGACGAGAGCGAGGTTGGCTGTGTTCCCTTGATATCCCGACTAGGTATATCCATGTGTGTTTTGACCAGAGCGAGGTGGGTTGTGTTCGCTTCATATCCCGACTAGGTATATCCATGTGTTTTGACGAGAGCGAGGTGGGTTGTGTTCGCTTAATATCACGACTCGGTATATCCAAGTGTGTTTTGACGAGAGCGAGGTGGGGCTGTGTTCCCTTCATATCACGACTAGGTATATCCATGTGTGTTTTGACGAGAGCGAGTTGGGGCTGTGTTCCCTTCATATCACGACTAGGTATATCCATGTGTGTTTTGACGAAAGCGAGGTTGGCTGTGTTCCCTTCATATCACGACTAGGTATATCCATGTGTGTTTTGACGAGAGCGAGGTGGACTGTGTTCGCTTCATATCACGACTAGCTATATCCATGTGTGTTTTGACGAGAGCGAGGTGGGCTGTGTTCCCTTCATATCGCGACTAGGTATATCCATGTGTGTTTTGACGAGAGCGAGGTGGGCTGTGTTCCCTTGATATCACGACTAGGTATATCCATGTGTGTTTTGACCAGAGCGAGGTGGGTTGTGTTCGCTTCATATCCCGACTAGGTATAGCCATGTGTTTTGACGAGAGCGAGGTGGGTTGTGTTCGCTTCATATCAAGACTAGGTATATCCAAGTGTGTTTTGACGAGAGCGAGGTGGGCCTGTGTTCCCTTCATATCACGACTAGGTATATCCATGTGTGTTTTGACGAGAGCGAGTTGGGGCTGTGTTCCCTTCATATCAGGACTAGGTATATCCATGTGTGTTTTGACGAGAGCGAGGTTGGCTGTGTTCCCTTCATATCACGACTAGGTTTATCCATGTGTGTTTTGACGAGAGCGAGGTGGACTGTGTTTGCTTCATATCACGACTAGGTATATCCATGTGTGTTTTGACGAGAGCGAGGTGGACTGTGTTCCCTTCATATCGCGACTAGGTATATCCATGTGTGTTTTGACGAGAGCGAGGTGGGCTGTGTTCCCTTCATATCACGACTAGGTTTATCCATGTGTGTTTTGACGAGAGCGAGGTGGGCTGTGTTCCCTTCATATCACGACTAGGTATATCCATGTGTGTTTTGACGAGAGCGAGGTGGGCTGTGTTCCCTTGATATCACGACTAGGTATATCGATGTGTGTTTTGACGAGAGCGAGGTGGGCTGTGTTCGCTTCATATCCCGACTAGGTATATCCATGTGTGTTTTGACGAGAGCGAGGTTGGCTGTGTTCCCTTTATATCACGACTAGGTATATCCATGTGTGTTTTGACGAGAGCGAGGTGGGCTGTGTTCCCTTCATATCACGACTAGGTATATCCATGTGTGTTTTGACGAGAGAGAGGTGGACTGTGTTCGCTTCATATCACGACTAGGTATATCCATGTGTGTTTTGATGAGAGCGAGGTGGGCTGTGTTCCCTTCATGTCACGACTAGGTATGTCCATGTGTGTTTTGACGAGAGCGAGGTGGGCTGTGTTCGCTTCATATCACCACTAGGTATATCCATGTGTGTTTTGACGAGAGCGAGGTGGGCTGTGTTCCCTTCATATCACGACTAGGTATATCCATGTGTGTTTTGACGAGAGCGAGTTGGGGCTGTGTTCCCTTCATATCAGGACTAGGTATATCCATGTGTGTTTTGACGAGAGCGAGGTTGGCTGTGTTCCCTTCATATCACGACTAGGTTTATCCATGTGTGTTTTGACGAGAGCGAGGTGGACTGTGTTTGCTTCATATCACGACTAGGTATATCCATGTGTGTTTTGACGAGAGCGAGGTGGGCTGTGTTCCCTTCATATCGCGACTAGGTATATCCATGTGTGTTTTGACGAGAGCGAGGTGGGCTGTGTTCCCTTCATATCACGACTAGGTTTATCCATGTGTGTTTTGACGAGAGCGAGGTGGGCTGTGTTCCCTTGATATCACGACTAGGTATATCGATGTGTGTTTTGACGAGAGCGAGGTGGGCTGTGTTTGCTTCATATCACGACTAGGTATATCCATGTGTGTTTTGACGAGAGCGAGGTTGGCTGTGTTCCCTTTATATCACGACTAGGTATATCCATGTGTGTTTTGACGAGAGCGAGGTGGGCTGTGTTCCCTTCATATCACGACTAGGTATATCCATGTGTGTTTTGACGAGAGAGAGGTGGACTGTGTTCGCTTCATATCACGACTAGGTATATCCATGTGTGTTTTGACGAGAGCGAGGTGGGCTGTGTTCCCTTCATGTCACGACTAGGTATGTCCATGTGTGTTTTGACGAGAGCGAGGTGGGCTGTGTTCGCTTCATATCACGACTAGGTATATCCATGTGTGTTTTGACGAGAGCGAGGTGGGCTGTGTTCCCTTCATTGTCAGGAATGGTTATGTCTATGGTTGTTTGGTTTAGTGTTTAACGCCGCACTCACCAATATTCCAGCTGTATGATATCGGTCTGTAAATAATCGAGTCTTGACCAGAGAATCTAGTTAGTAATATCATGAGCATCGATCCTCGTAATTGGGATGACATGCATCATCCAAGTCAGCGAGCCTGACCACCCGACTCCGTCAGTCGCCTCTTACGACAAGCGAAGTCGCCTTTTACGGCTAGCATGGGTTGCTGAAGACTTATTCAACCCCGGATCTTCACGGGTCGGGTATGTCTGTTGTGTATTGACTATAGCTAGTTTAGCTATGTTCAAGGCTGTGTCCCGGTTGTGCATGGTTATGTGTGTCTTCACCATAGCGAGTTTGGCCCACTCATTCTTTGTTTGGGGGAAAAAGATCGTCATAAGGGATGTATCTTCAGTAAACTTTTTAAAGAGAAATTACTTTGAAATATTCAAATATTCAATGTTTGTAATTACAAACTAGATGTTCTTTTTTGTGAAAGGCAATTCATGATTGCTATTCTTTTCATGTTTGTCGTAAATGTAGAATTCTAGTATTGGCTTTAACTGTAACTGTAGTATAGGCCACGTAGATCTGTTGTCAATTCATGTCGTCTTTTATCTCAGGGGAATCGTGTTCTTCCTTCGAGACGTATCTGAATCTGCTGCAGAAGAGCGCCAACTTCATACAGAAGAAGCACAAACACAACACTGTGAATCCTTATATCACAAGTGAGTTTGTTGCTTGTACCTTATCTCTTGTATCGCGAGTGAAATACGTGGTTTTTTATGCGACTCACGTCAGATGTTATACCGCGGGGGCGGAGGGGTAGCCTAGTGGTAAAAGCGTTCGCATCGACACGCCGATGACCTGGGTTCGATTCCCCACATGGGTACAATGCGTGACGCCCATTTATGGGGATATTGCTGGAATATTGATAAAAGCCGTGTAAAACCAGACTCCCTCACTCACTGTTTTATACAACGACCGTTATTACAATTGGCAACATTCCCGTACGCAACATTCCCGCGGCGCGTAGACGTTGACGTAGACGGCGCCGTACCACTGCATGAGCGTTATACAAAACTGTTTTTGCATGAGCATTATAGTAACAAATGTGAGATGTTTGCTGTTCACATTTAAAAAAACCACGTGTGTTATACAGCGAGCATGAATTATCTTGCTTATTTTCAAAAAATATTGTTGTGGTTTATCATCGTCTATAACTATCGTTTCTTTATGATTGCAGTCAGTTTTGTATAGCCTGTATAAGTTACGGTCGTTACCCATGTCAACAAGCTAGGTGCAATTCTTAGAGTGGTACAAGGAGAGATAACTGCTTCTGTAGCTAAACTGAGCAAAAGGGCAGCCATACATTGGTATATCGCCTACGCCCGTATATATACTAACGGAAAAACGTAACGGTGCTCCATCAGAGTTGTCCAGTTGAATCCTGGACTCATCTGTGAACAGCATCCTGTTCCAATCTTGTCTTCAGAACCTCAGATGCTGTCTACTCTAGTTAGGCGTGCCTGACGTTGCCGTAGAAGCAAGATTTGGCGTATCGCTAGACTACGGTTCAACGACTAATTAGTCTCAACCCAGGAATTGTCGATGTTTTGATTAACACCAAAATGTCTGGCAGCATTCCAGTATGCAGCCTTCCCACGGCCCGTAGACGTTGCTTTACAAACCGTACCACTGCAAGCGTTATTACATTATACAAAAATGTTTTTGTGTGAGCATAATAGTTACAGATGTGAGCTGTTTCCTTTTCATATTCGAAAAACCACGTGTGTCAGTGTCATGCTTCCAACAAACACGCACACATCTCAACTGTTGTGTACAACTTTTGTACAATTATCGGGCCACTAAGACGTCACATTCGCATCACTCGTACGCCACTAATGCCCAGTGTATGCGCCAATAACTCGATACATCGTGCAGTTTACGAGCCATTTTTACCGCACTTCTTTCGCTGTACTTTCACGGCCCTATCGCTAATGTATCGTCTCACTATAATGGCATTTAGTGTAGTTCACAACAATTCTTACATTGGTAGATACATAGTTTAGGATAACTCTTATATTGATGAATACATAGTTCACAAGAACTATTATATTGATAGATACATAGTTCACAACAACTCTTATACTGATAGATACATAGTTTATAACAACTCTTATATTGATAGATACATAGTTCACAACAACTCTTATATTGATAGATCCATCGTTCACAAGATCTCTTATATTGATAGATCCATAGTTCACAACAACTCTTATATTGATAGATCCATAGTTCACAACAACTCTTATATTGATAGATCCATAGTTCACAACAACTCTTACATTGATAGACACATAGTTTATAACAACTCTTATATTGATAGACACATAGTTTATAACAACTCTTATATTGATAGATACATAGTTTATAACAACTCTCATATTGATAGCCGTTCACAAGATCTCTTATATTGATAGATCCATAGTTCACAACAACTCTTATATTGATAGATCCATAGTTCACAACAACTCTTATATTGATAGATCCATAGTTCACAACAACTCTTACATTGATAGACACATAGTTTATAACAACTCTTATATTGATAGATCCATAGTTTATAACAACTCTTATATTGATAGATACATAGTTTATAACAACTCTCATATTGATAGCCGTTCACAAGATCTCTTATATTGATAGATCCATAGTTCACAACAACTCTTATACTGATAGACACATAGTTCACAACAACTCTTATACTGATAGATACATAGTTTATAACAACTCTTATATTGATAGATACATAGTTCACAACAACTCTTATAGTGATAGATCCATAGTTCACAACAACTCTTATACTGATAGATACATAGTTCACAACAACTCTTATAGTGATAGATACATAGTTCACAACAACTCATATAGTGATAGATCCATAGTTCACAACAACTCTTATATTGATAGATACATAGTTCACAACAACTCTTATAGTGATAGATACATAGTTCACAACAACTCTTATATTGATAGATACATAGTTCACAACAACTCTTATACTGATAGATACATAGTTCACAACAACTCTTATACTGATAGATACATAGTTCACAACAACTCTTATATTGATAGATCAATAGTTCACAACAACTCTTACATTGATAGACACATAGTTTATAACAACTCTTATATTGATCGATACATGGCTCATGGCCACTCTTATATTGATCGATACATGGTTCAAAACATCTCTGATATTGATAGATATACAGTTTATTACAATTTATATGTTGCTAGATACACAGGTTATTACAACTCTTATAGTGATAGATACATAGTTCACAACAACTCTTATATTGATAGATCCATCGTTCACAAGATCTCTTATATTGTTATGATCCATAGTTCACAACAACTCTTATATTGATAGATCCATAGTTCACAACAACTCTTACATTGATAGACACATAGTTTATAACAACTCTTATATTGATCGATACATGGCTCATGGCCATTCTTATATTGATCGATACATGGTTCAAAACATCTCTGATATTAATAGATATACAGTTTATTACAATTTATATGTTGCTAGATACACAGGTTATATATTACAACTCTTATAGTGATAGATACATAGTTCACAACAACTCTTATAGTGATAGATCCATCGTTCACAAGATCTCTTATATTGATAGATCCATAGTTCACAACAACTCTTATATTGATAGATCCACAGTTCACAACAACTCTTACATTGATAGACACATAGTTTATAACAACTCTTATATTGATAGATCCATAGTTTATAACAACTCTTATATTGATAGATACATAGTTTATAACAACTCTCATATTGATAGCCGTTCACAAGATCTCTTATATTGAGAGATCCATAGTTCACAACAACTCTTATACTGATAGATCCATAGTTCACAACAACTCTTATACTGATAGATACATAGTTCACAACAACTCTTATATTGATAGATCAATAGTTCACAACAACTCTTACATTGATAGACACATAGTTTATAACAACTCTTATATTGATCGATACATGGCTCATGGCCACTCTTATATTGATCGATACATGGTTCAAAACATCTCTGATATTGATAGATATACAGTTTATTACAATTTATATGTTGCTAGATACACAGGTTATTACAACTCTTATAGTGATAGATACATAGTTCACAACAACTCTTATATTGATAGATCCATCGTTCACAAGATCTCTTATATTGTTATGATCCATAGTTCACAACAACTCTTATATTGATAGATCCATAGTTCACAACAACTCTTACATTGATAGACACATAGTTTATAACAACTCTTATATTGATCGATACATGGCTCATGGCCATTCTTATATTGATCGATACATGGTTCAAAACATCTCTGATATTAATAGATATACAGTTTATTACAATTTATATGTTGCTAGATACACAGGTTATATATTACAACTCTTATAGTGATAGATACATAGTTCACAACAACTCTTATAGTGATAGATCCATCGTTCACAAGATCTCTTATATTGATAGATCCATAGTTCACAACAACTCTTATATTGATAGATCCATAGTTCACAACAACTCTTACATTGATAGACACATAGTTTATAACAACTCTTATATTGATCGATACATGGCTCATGGCCATTCTTATATTGATCGATACATGGTTCAAAACATCTCTGATATTTATAGATATACAGTTTATTACAATTTATATGTTGCTAGATACACAGGTAATTACAACTCTTATAGTGATAGATACATAGTTCACAACAACTCTTATATTGATAGATCCATCGTTCACAAGATCTCTTATATTGTTATGATCCATAGTTCACAACAACTCTTATATTGATAGATCCATAGTTCACAACAACTCTTACATTGATAGACACATAGTTTATAACAACTCTTATATTGATCGATACATGGCTCATGGCCATTCTTATATTGATCGATACATGGTTCAAAACATCTCTGATATTAATAGATATACAGTTTATTACAATTTATATGTTGCTAGATACACAGGTTATATATTACAACTCTTATAGTGATAGATACATAGTTCACAACAACTCTTATAGTGATAGATCCATCGTTCACAAGATCTCTTATATTGATAGATCCATAGTTCACAACAACTCTTATATTGATAGATCCACAGTTCACAACAACTCTTACATTGATAGACACATAGTTTATAACAACTCTTATAGTGATAGATCCATCGTTCACAAGATCTCTTATATTGATAGATCCATAGTTCACAACAACTCTTATATTGATAGATACATAGTTCACAACAACTCTTATATTGATAGACACATAGTTTATAACAACTCTTATATTGATCGATACATGGCTCATGGCCATTCTTATATTGATCGATACATGGTTCAAAACATCTCTGATATTTATAGATATACAGTTTATTACAATTTATATGTTGCTAGATACACAGGTAATTACAACTCTTATAGTGATAGATACATAGTTCACAACAACTCTTATATTGATAGATCCATCGTTCACAAGATCTCTTATATTGTTATGATCCATAGTTCACAACAACTCTTATATTGATAGATCCATAGTTCACAACAACTCTTACATTGATAGACACATAGTTTATAACAACTCTTATATTGATCGATACATGGCTCATGGCCATTCTTATATTGATCGATACATGGTTCAAAACATCTCTGATATTAATAGATATACAGTTTATTACAATTTATATGTTGCTAGATACACAGGTTATATATTACAACTCTTGTAGTGATAGATACATAGTTCACAACAACTCTTATAGTGATAGATCCATCGTTCACAAGATCTCTTATATTGATAGATCCATAGTTCACAACAACTCTTATATTGATAGATCCACAGTTCACAGCAACTCTTACATTGATAGACACATAGTTTATAACAACTCTTATAGTGATAGATCCATCGTTCACAAGATCTCTTATATTGATAGATCCATAGTTCACAACAACTCTTATATTGATAGATACATAGTTCACAACAACTCTTATATTGATAGATCCATAGTTCACAACAACTCTTACATTGATAGACACATAGTTTATAACAACTCTTATATTGATCGATACATGGCTCATGGCTATTCTTATATTGATCGATACATGGTTCAAAACATCTCTGATATTGATAGATATACAGTTTATTACAATTTATATGTGACTAGATACACAGGTTATTACAACTCCTATAGTGATAGATACATAGTTCACAACAACTCTTATACTGATAGATCCATCGTTCACAAGATCTCTTATATTGATAGATCCATAGTTCACAACAACTCTTATATTGATAGATCCACAGTTCACAACAACTCTTACATTGATAGACACATAGTTTATAACAACTCTTATATTGATCGATACATGGTTCATGGCCATTCTTATATTGATCGATACATGGTTCAAAACATCTCTGATATTTATAGATATACAGTTTATTACAATTTATATGTTGCTAGATACACAGGTAATTACAACTCTTATAGTGATAGATACACAGTTCGTCAGAACTGTCACTCTGATAGATACAATATATATGTTGATAGATACATTGTAACCTTTCATTGCCATTTACAACACTCAGTTTAATAGAAATATTTTTGAAACTGTACCTACCAGTCTAAATATGGATACATATACATATGTTTGTACAGGTGATGCCACCCCGGGATATTTCTCCTACATTGACTTTTGGGATATGTTGCCTGGCAACGAAGGGTGTACCGAGCCTTGTGTGACCAATGCTGACATCATTCACCATCTGAACCCTCGGGCCAAGATCATCCTGTCACTCAGGAACCCCACAGACAGGTACGGTCTGGTAAAATATACACACGCCAAGCAAGTCATGAGCCCCGCAGACAGGTACAGTCTGGTAAAATATACACACACCAAGCAGGTCATGAGCCCTGCAGACAGGTACAGTCCAGTGTATACATACACCAAGCAAGTCACGAACCCTACAGACAGGTACAGTCTGGTAAAATATACACACACCAAGCAGGTCATGAGCCCTGCAGACAGGTACAGTCCAGTGTATACATACACCAAGCAGGTCATGAGCCCTGCAGACAGGTACAGTCTGGTAAAATATACACACACCAAGCAGGTCATGAGCCCTGCAGACAGGTACAGTCTGGTAAAATATACACACACCAAGCAGGTCATGAGCCCTGCAGACAGGTACAGTCCAGTGTATACATACACCAAGCAAGTCACGAACCCTACAGACAGGTACAGTCTGGTAAAATATACACACACCAAGCAGGTCATGAGCCCTGCAGACAGGTACAGTCCAGTGTATACATACACCAAGCAAGTCAAGAGCCCTGCAGACAGGTACAGTCTGGTAAAATATATACATACCAAGCAAGTCAAGAGCCCTGCAGACAGGTACAGTCCAGTGTATACATACACCAGGCAAGTCACGAACCCTACAGACAGGTACAGACTGGTAAAATATACATGTAGAATTCAGTTACAAGACATAGTTCACACTGTAGACGATGAAACTCTGGCCGAGATACAGACAAATAATGCTAGTTTATGATAGACGATGATAGAAAGACTATGCAAGACAGAGAAAATATGAGAGACTCTGATACAATGAAGGACTGTGAGAAACACTGAGAAACACCTAGAGACTATGCAAGACAATAAGCGACTCTGAGAGAAACACCTAGAGACTATGCAAGACAATAAGCGACTCTGAGAGAAACACCTAGAGACTATGCAAGACAATAAGCGACTCTGAGAGAAACAACAAGAGACTATGCAAGACAATAAGCGACTCTGAGAGAGACAACAAGAGACAATGCAAGAAAATAAGCGACTCTGAGAGAAACACCTAGAGACTATGCAAGAAAATAAGCGACTCTGAGAGAATCACCTAGATACTATGCAAGACAATAAGCGATTCTGAGAGAGACAACAAGACACTACGAGAGAAAAAATGAGAGACAATATGAACATCTTTGTTTCAGACTCTACTCCTACTACTTTTTTAAGTCGGCTATATTAGGAAGGATGGTGTCAAAACAAGACTTCCACGACCTGGTCAACAGAGAAATCGGTAAATTCAACAACTGTCTGGCGTCGCAGTCTCTCCGGGGATGTTGTTACAACTACACGATCGCTAATTCCCTGACGGAAGAGGTACGAGAGGGTGTTTAGACATTATCTTCCCATAAAACAAGTGGCAGTGGTACACAGATAGTTGTAATACAATACTTCAGTGAGGAGTATATAGACAGTTGCAATACAATACTTCTCAGAGGAGTACATAGACAGTTGTAATACAAGACTTCTCAGAGGAGTACATAGATAGTTGTAATACAATACTTCTCAGAGGAGTACATAGACAGTTGTAATACAATACTTCTCAGAGGAGTACATAGATAGTTGTAATACAATACTTCTCAGAGGAGTACATAGATAGTTGTAATTCAACACTTCTCAGAGGAGTACATAGAAAGTTGTAATACAAGAATTCTCAGAGGAGTACATAGATAGTTGTAATACAAGACTTCTCAGAGGAGTACATAGATAGTTGTAATACAAGACTTCTTAGAGGAGTACATAGATAGTTGCAATACAAGACTTCTCAGAGGAGTACATAGACAGTTGTAATACAATACTTCTCAGAGGAGTACATAGATAGTTGTAATACAAGAATTCTCAGAGGAGTACATAGATAGTTGTAATACAACACTTCTCAGAGGAGTACATAGATACTTGTAATACAAGACTTCTCAGAGGAGTACATAGACAGTTGTAATACAACACGTCTCAGAGGAGTACATAGATAGTTGTAATACAACACGTCTCAGAGGAGTACATAGATAGTTGTAATACAATACTCCTCAGAGGAGTACATAGATAGTTGTAATACAATACTTCTCAGAGGAGTACATAGATAGTTGTAATAGAACACTTCTCAGAGGAGTACATAGATAGTTGTAATACAATACTTCCCAGAGGAGTACATAGATAGTTGTAATACAAGACTTCTCAGAGGAGTACATAGATAGTTGTAATACAAGAATTCTCAGAGGAGTACATAGATAGTTGTAATACAACACTTCTCACAGGAGTACATAGATAGTTGTAATACAATACTTCCCAGAGGAGTACATAGATAGTTGTAATACAAGACTTCTCAGAGGAGTACATAGATAGTTGTAATACAATACTTCTCAGAGGACTACATAGATAGTTGTAATACAACACTTCTCAGAGGAGTACATAGATAGTTGTAATACAACACTTCTCAGAGGAGTACATAGATAGTTGTAATACAAGATTTCTCAGAGGAGTACATAGACAGTTGTAATACAATACTTCTCAGAGGAGTACATAGACAGTTGTAATACAACACGTCTCAGAGGAGTACATAGATAGTTGTAATACAACACGTCTCAGAGGAGTACATAGATAGTTGTAATACAATACTCCTCAGAGGAGTACATAGACAGTTGTAATACAATACTTCTCAGAGGAGTACATAGACAGTTGTAATACAATACTTCTCAGAGGAGTACATAGATAGTTGTAATAGAACACTTCTCAGAGGAGTACATAGAGAGGTTGTAATACAATACTTCCCAGAGGAGTACATAGATAGTTGTAATACAAGACTTCTTAGAGGAGTACATAGATAGTTGTAATACAAGACTTCTCAGAGGAGTACATAGACAGTTGTAATACAATACTTCTCAGAGGAGTACATAGACAGTTGTAATACAACACTCATCAGAGGAGTACATAGATAGTTGTAATACAACACTTCTCAGAGGAGTACATAGACAGTTGTAATACAATACTTCTCAGAGGAGTACATAGATAGCTGTAATACAACACTTCTCAGAGGAGTACATAGATAGTTGTAATACAACACTTCTCAGAGGAGTACAAAGACAGTTGTAATACAATACTCCTCAGAGGAGTACATAGATAGTTGTAATACAAGACCTTTCAGAGGAGTACATAGACAGTTGTAATACAAGACTTCTTAGAGGAGTACATAGATAGTTGTAATACAAGACTTCTTAGAGGAGTACATAGATAGTTGTAATACAAGACTTCTTAGAGGAGTACATAGATAGTTGTAATACAACACTTCTCAGAGGAGTACATAGACAGTTGTAATACAAGACTTCTCAGAGGAGTACATAGATAGTTGTAATAGAACACTTCTCAGAGGAGTACATAGATAGTTGTAATACAATTCTTCCCAGAGGAGTACATAGATAGTTGTAATACAAGACTTCTTAGAGGAGTACATAGATAGTTGTAATACAATTCTTCCCAGAGGAGTACATAGATAGTTGTAATACAAGACTTCTTAGAGGAGTACATACATAGTTGTAATACAAGACTTCTCAGAGGAGTACGAAGATAGTTGTAATACTATACTTCTCAGAGGAGTACATAGACAGTTGTAATACAACACTCCTCAGAGGAGTACATAGATAGTTGTAATACAACACTTCTCAGAGGAGTACATAGACAGTTGTAATACAATACTTCTCAGAGGAGTACATAGATAGCTGTAATACAACACTTCTCAGAGGAGTACATAGATAGTTGTAATACAACACTTCTCAGAGGAGTACATAGACAGTTGTAATACAATACTCCTCAGAGGAGTACATTGATAGTTGTAATACAAGACCTTTCAGAGGAGTACATAGACAGTTGTAATACAATACTCCTCAGAGGAGTACATAGATAGTTGTAATACAAGACCTTTCAGAGGAGTACATAGACAGTTGTAATACAAGACTTCTTAGAGGAGTACATAGATAGTTGTAATACAAGACTTTTTAGAGGAGTACATAGATAGTTGTAATACAAGACTTCTTAGAGGAGTAAAAAGATAGTTGTAATACAACACTTCTCAGAGGAGTACATAGACAGTTGTAATACAATACTTCTCAGAGGAGTACATAGACAGTTGTAATACAATACTTCTCAGAGGAGTACATAGATAGATGTAATACAATACTTCTTAGAGGAGTACATAGATAGTTGTAATACAAGACTTCTTAGAGGAGTACATAGATAGTTGTAATACAATACTTCTTAGAGGAGTACATAGATAGTTGTAATACAAGACTTCTTAGAGGAGTAAAAAGATAGTTGTAATACAACACTTCTCAGAGGAGTACATAGACAGTTGTAATACAATACTTCTCAGAGGAGTACATAGACAGTTGTAATACAATACTTCTCAGAGGAGTACATAGATAGATGTAATACAATACTTCTTAGAGGAGTACATAGATAGTTGTAATACAAGACTTCTTAGAGGAGTACATAGATAGTTGTAATACAATACTTCTTAGAGGAGTACATAGATAGTTGTAATACAAGACTTCTTAGAGGAGTACATAGATAGTTGTAATACAATACTTCTCAGAGGAGTACATAGACAGTTGTAATACAATACTTCTCAGAGGAGTACATAGATAGTTGTAATACAATACTTCTCAGAGGAGTACATAGATAGTTGTAATACAATACTTCTTAGAGGAGTACATAGATAGTTGTAATACAAGAATTCTCAGAGGAGTACATAGATAGTTGTAATACAAGACTTCTCAGAGGAGTACATAGATAGTTGTAATACAATACTTCTTAGAGGAGTACATAGATAATTGTAATACAAGACTTCTCAGAGGAGTACATAGATAATTGTAATACAAGACTTCTCAGAGGAGTACATAGACAGTTGTAATACAATACTTCTCAGAGGAGTACATAGACAGTTGTAATACAAGACTTCTCAGAGGAGTACATAGACAGTTGTAATACAATACTCCTCAGAGGAGTACATAGACAGTTGTAATACAATACTTCTCAGAGGAGTACATAGACAGTTGTAATACAATACTTCTCAGAGGAGTACATAGACAGTTGTAATACAATACTTCTCAGAGGAGTACATAGATAGTTGTAATACAAGACTCCTCAGAGGAGTACATAGATAGTTGTAATACAATACTCCTCCGAGGAGTACATAGACAGTTGTAATACAATACTTCTCAGAGGAGTACATAGACAGTTGTAATACAAGACTTCTCAGAGGAGTACATAGACAGTTGTAATACAATACTCCTCAGAGGAGTACATAGATAGTTGTAATACAAGACTTCTCAGAGGAGTACATAGACTGTTGTAATACAATACTTCTCAAAGGAGTACATAGACAGTTGTAATACAATACTTCTCAGAGAAGTACATAGACAGTTGTAATACAATACTTCTCAGAGGAGTACATAGATAGTTGTAATACAAGACTCCTCAGAGGAGTACATAGATAGTTGTAATACAATACTCCTCAGAGGAGTACATAGCCAGTTGTAATACAATACTCCTCAGAGGAGTACATAGACAGTTGTAATACAATACTTCTAAGAGGAGTACATAGATAGTTGTAATACAATACTTCTCAGAGGAGTACATAGACAGTTGTAATACAATACTTCTCAGAGGAGTACATAGACAGTTGTAATACAATACTCCTCAGAGGAGTACATAGACTGTTGTAATACAATACTTCTTAGAGGAGTACATAGATAGTTGTAATACAATACTTCTCAGAGGAGTACATAGACAGTTGTAATACAATACTCCTCAGAGGAGTACATAGACAGTTGTAATACAATACTCCTCAGAGGAGTACATAGACAGTTGTAATACAATACTTCTTAGAGGAGTACATAGACAGTTGTAATACAATACTCCTGAGAGGAGTACATAGATAGTTATATTACAATACTCCTTAGAGGAGTATATAGATAGTTGTAATACAATACTTCTCAGAGGAGTACATAGACAGTTGTAATACAATACTTCTCAGAGGAGTACATAGATAGTTGTTATACAAGACTTCTCAGAGGAGTACATAGATAGTTGTAATAGAACACTTCTCAGAGGAGTACATAGACAGTTGTAATACAATACTTCTCAGAGGAGTACATAGATAGTTGTAATACAATACTTCTCAGAGGAGTACATAGACAGTTGTAATACAAGACTTCTCAGAGGAGTACATAGATAGTTGTAATACAATACTCCTTTGAGGAGTACATAGATAGTTGTAATACAATACTTCTCAGAGGAGTACATAGACAGTTGTAATACAATACTCCTTCGAGGAGTACATAGATAGTTGTAATACAAGACTTCTCAGAGGAATACATAGATAGTTGTAATACAAGACTTCTCAGAGGAGTACATAGACAGTTGTAATACAAGACTTCTCAGAGGAGTACATAGACAGTTGTAATACAATACTCCTCAGAGGATTACATAGACAGTTGTAATACAAGACTTCTCAGAGGAGTACATAGACAGTTGTAATACAATACTTCTCAGAGGAGTACATAGACAGTTGTAATACAATACTTCTCAGAGGAGTACATAGACAGTTGTAATACAATACTTCTCAGAGGAGTACATAGATAGTTGTAATACAAGACTCCTCAGAGGAGTACATAGATAGTTGTAATACAATACTCCTCAGAGGAGTACATAGACAGTTGTAATACAATACTTCTCAGAGGAATACATAGACAGTTGTAATACAATACTCCTCAGAGGAGTACATAGATAGTTGTCATACAATACTTCTAAGAGGAGTACATAGATAGTTGTAATACAATACTTCTCAGAGGAGTACATAGACAGTTGTAATACAATACTTCTCAGAGGAGTACATAGACAGTTGTAATACAATACTCCTCAGAGGAGTACATAGACAGTTGTAATACAATACTTCTTAGAGGAGTACATAGATAGTTGTAATACAATACTTCTCAGAGGAGTACATAGACAGTTGTAATACAATAATCCTCAGAGGAGTACATAGACAGTTGTAATACAATACTCCTCAGAGGAGTACATAGACAGTTGTAATACAATACTTCTTAGAGGAGTACATAGATAGTTGTAATACAATACTCCTCAGAGGAGTACATAGATAGTTATATTACAATACTCGTTAGAGGAGTACATAGATAGTTGTAATACAATACTTCTCAGAGGAGTACATAGACAGTTGTAATACAAGACTTCTCAGAGGAGTACATAGACAGTTGTAATACAAGACTTCTCAGAGGAGTACATAGACAGTTGTAATACAAGACTTCTCAGAGGAGTCCATAGACAGTTGTAATAGAAGACTTCTCAGAGGAGTACATAGACAGTTGTAATACAAGACTTCTCAGAGGAGTACATAGACAGTTGTAATACAATACTTCTCAGAGGAGTACATAGACAGTTGTAATACAATACTCCTCAGAGGAGTACATAGACAGTTGTAATACAATACTTCTTAGAGGAGTACATAGATAGTTGTAATACAATACTTCTCAGAGGAGTACATAGACAGTTGTAATACAATAATCCTCAGAGGAGTACATAGACAGTTGTAATACAATACTCCTCAGAGGAGTACATAGACAGTTGTAATACAATACTTCTTAGAGGAGTACATAGATAGTTGTAATACAATACTCCTCAGAGGAGTACATAGATAGTTATATTACAATACTCGTTAGAGGAGTACATAGATAGTTGTAATACAATACTTCTCAGAGGAGTACATAGACAGTTGTAATACAAGACTTCTCAGAGGAGTACATAGACAGTTGTAATACAAGACTTCTCAGAGGAGTACATAGACAGTTGTAATACAAGACTTCTCAGAGGAGTCCATAGACAGTTGTAATAGAAGACTTCTCAGAGGAGTACATAGACAGTTGTAATACAAGACTTCTCAGAGGAGTACATAGACAGTTGTAATACAAGACCAATCACAGTGGTACAGGGTTCATATAACGTGGTGGTCAAATTCGCTTTTGAGAATATCTGGTATCTGTGAAGCAAACACCTGCCTCGCTTTGCTCATAAGAGGGTACTGTGAAAGTGCGACCCCGCGTTCTTTGAGACATCTTTGCACGTCACCTGTTGTCAGATACGATGCGTGTTATGCTGCCTATGTATTTTTATTCGTTGTCAAAGATATCGTGACCCTTAATTCAAGTTACCATCAACCTGTGTACGCTGTGAAGAATACTCGATGCCCCATACAGTCCATCAGCACCCGTGTACACAACCAATCCCATCAGTCCACACAAACAAACATGTGTACAATGTGTACAATATGTACACTGTTTCCGTTAGTTTGATTATGTGACCACTCATCACAGGACGTGATGCACATGGATAGCCACAATCACTCTGTGACATATTTTTTCCACCAGTGCCAGTAATTTACCTTTGTTGTCTTGTCTGTTAACACGTGCACAGGCACGCACGCAGGCACGCACGCGCAAGTGACATAAGACCGCTCACATTTCCACCAATGTGTCGACTTCGTGTTAGCTGCAAATATGTTAAATTATGCTGAATGATTAAAACTGACTTTGTTTCGCCAGCTTGATCTACGACGCGGGATCTACCACGTGTTTCTGATGGATTGGATGAAAGTGTTCCCTAGCAACCAGATCCACGTCCAAACGTTCGAGGACTACACGAGTAATGAAACAAAACATCTCGCAGAAATCTTCAATTTTCTGAATCTCAGTGAGTATTTTGCTATCTACTTTCGTCACAGGAATTTAATAGACATCCACATGCCTGTGGAACCTGTGGGGACCAATGATAGAATAGAACTGGCTGGCCGACCCCGTGGAGACCCAGGATAGAAATCAAATCGAAATCTATATCGCAACACTGATCTGATAGCTTGTCGACCCAGTGTGGATCTAGGTTAGAACAGGTCGCTAGTACTCTATAGCTCGTAACAGATCTGCTAGCTGACCGACCCAATGAGAACTCTGGTTAGAACATGTCCCCAACATGCATTGACCTGTAACACGAGACAAAACTGGATGGATTGTCAGGCTAGGTGAATTTCTTGTTTGCACGTCATTGTACCCCGACTGGAAGGCACGTTGCTCATAGTGTCAACCAATGGTCCAATGGTCTAGTCCAGACTCGATTGTTACAAGCCGCAGTGAGTGAGTGAGTGAGTATGGGTTTACGCCGCGTTTAGCAATATTCCAGCAATATCACGGCGGGGAACACCAGAAATGGGCTTCACACATTGTACCCATGTCGGGAATCGAACCCGGGTCTTCGGCGTGACGAGCGAACGCTTTAACCACTAGGCTACCCGACCGCCCCTACAAGCCGCAGTGCTATAGATTTATTGTTTCGTACAGAAGGATGCGGATGTCTATGACTTGAGTGAGTGACAAGAAAAAATAATGGCCATAACCAGTACAAATGCCATTAGATGTAAATAGCCCGTAACATTACCTTAATGAACATTTATCTTTATCGGAGTCATAAAATACAGCGTTCTGGTAGGCTGGTCAGTGTTCAGCATGGCGGGCGAACACCTCATCCATAGAGCTACCGAACTGCTCCTTGTCATGATACCGATAATGCATATATATACTTTGTCATGCCTCCCTGTAACGATATACTTCCAGAACCACCCGTTGGTCTTCGTCATGACTCGCTGTGACTGTTTACTTGCAGAACGTCCTGTCGTTCTTCGTCATGAGTCGCTGTAACTATTTACTTCCAGAACCGCCTGTCAGTCTTCGTCATGACTCGCCGAAACTGTATGCTTGCAGAACCTCCTGTCGGTCTTCGTCATGACTCGCTGTAACTGTATGCTTGCAGAACCTCCTGTCGGTCTTCGTCATGACTTGCTGTAACTGTATGCTTGCAGAACCTCCTGTCGGTCTTCGTCATGACTCGCTGTAACTGTATGCTTGCAGAACCTCCTGTCGGTCTTCGTCATGACTTGCTGTAACTGTATGCTTGCAGAACCTCCTGTCAGTCTTCGTCATGACTCGCTTTAACTGTATGCTTGCAGGACCTCCTGTCGGTCTTCGTCGTGACTTGCTGTAACTGTATGCTTGCAGAACCTCCTGTCAGTCCTCGTCATGACTCGCTGTAACTGAATGCTTGCAGAACCTCCTATTGGTCTTCGTCATGACTCGCTGTAACTGTATGCTTGCAGAACCTCCTGTCAGTCTTCGTCATGACTCGCTGTAACTGTATGCTTGCAGAACCTCCTGTCGGTCTTCGTCATGACTTGCTGTAACTGTATGCTTGCAGAACCTCCTGTCAGTCTTCGTCATGACTCGCTGTAACTGTATGCTTGCAGAACCTCCTGTCGGTCTTCGTCGTGACTTGCTGTAACTGTATGCTTGCAGAACCTCCTGTCAGTCTTCGTCATGACTCGCTGTAACTGTATGCTTGCAGAACCTCCTGTCAGTCTTCGTCGTGACTTGCTGTAACTGTATGCTTGCAGGACCTCCTGTCGGTCTTCGTCATGACTCGCTGTATCTGTATGCTTGCAGTACCTCCTGTCAGTCCTCGTCATGACTCGCTGTAACTGTATGCTTGCAGAACCTCCTATTGGTCTTCGTCATGACTCGCTGTATCTGTATGCTTGCAGTACCTCCTGTCAGTCTTCGTCATGACTCGCTGTAACTGTATGCTTGCAGAACCTCCTGTCGGTCTTCGTCATGACTCGCTGTAACTGTATGCTTGCAGAACCTCCTGTCGGTCTTCGTCTTGATTCGCTGTAACTGTATGCTTGCAGAACCTCCTGTCGGTCTTCGTCATGACTCGCTGTAACTGTATGCTTGCAGAACCTCCTGTCGGTCTTCGTCATGACTCGCTGTAACTGTATGCTTGCAGAACCTCCTGTTGGTCTTCGTCATGACTCGCTGTTACTGTATGCTTGCAGAACCTCCTATTGGTCTTCGTCATGACTCGCTGTAACTGTATGCTTGCAGAACCTCCTGTCAGTCTTCGTCATGACTCGCTGTAACTGTATGCTTGCAGAACCTCCTGTCGGTCTTCGTCATGACTCGCTGTAACTGTATGCTTGCAGAACCTCCTGTCGGTCTTCGTCTTGATTCGCTGTAACTGTATGCTTGCAGAACCTCCCGTCGGTCTTCGTCATGACTCGTTGTAACTGTATGCTTGCAGAACCTCCTATTGGTCTTCGTCATGACTTGCTGTAACTGTATGCTTGCAGAACCTCCTGTCGGTCTTCTTCATGACTCGCTGTAAATGTATGCTTGCAGAACCTCCTCTCGGTCTTCGTCATGACTCGATGTAACTGTATGCTTGCAGAACCTCCTGTCGGTCTTCGTCCTTATTCGCTGTTACTGTATGCTGGCAGAACCTCCTGTCGGTCTTCGTCATGACTTGCTGTAACTGTATGCTTGCAGAACCTCCTGTCGGTCTTCGTCATGACTTGCTGTAACTGTATGCTTGCAGAACCTCCTGTCGGTCTTCGTCATGACTTGCTGTAACTATTCACTTCCAGAACCGCCTGTCGGTCTTCTTCATGACTCGCTGTAACTGTATGCTTGCAGAACCTCTTGTCGGTCTTCGTCATGCTTCCCTGTAACTACTTACTTCCAGAACCGCCTGTCAGTCTGTGCCATGACTCGCTGTAACTGTTTACTTCCAGAACCTCCTGTTGGTCTTCGTCATGACTCGTTGTTACTATATACTTCCAGAACCTCCTGTCGGTCTTCGTCATGACTTGCTGTAACTGTACACTTCCAGATCCTCATGTCTGTTTAATGACGCGCTCTAAATATTTACTTCCAGAACCTCCTGTTGGTCTTCGTCATGACTTGCTGTAACTATACTGAACCGCAAAAGAAACGTCACCCCAAGTAACATTGCATAAAAAATTGTCATTGAAATATCTGGGTAATTTTTGTCAAAGTTTCTAAAATTTAACTTGCCTTGTCCGGAAAAATGAAATTTGATGATAAAAAAACAAAGCAGATGACAATAAAACCGATCGCCCAAACGCATCACGGCTACGGCCATGGTAACCCAATGCACGTGAGTTCCGTGAAAACTGAAATGCACATGCGTTCCCCCATTTCTTGCCCTATGAAAATCCACCCAGATTGGATAACATTCATTCGTTATTGAATTGCTACCACAAGCCAAGATTGACAAGAAAACAACGACACCAAGCCATTGGACGATTGCAAGCTGGACAAACCGCTGCAGCAACGGTACAAGACCACCAACACTACAGATTACCGACCACCACCCGACGTAAGGATCCTCAGATTGTGCGACAGCATCTTCAAGATCGCTTTGTTACTGCTGCGGAAACTGCTCGACGTACCATGGGGACACACCAGCGACACATTAATGGGGACACACCAGCGACACATTAATGTGGACACCGTGCGTCGACGTTTGACGAGAAGACACCTCCATTGTCACAGGCCACACCGAGGACCCGTTCTGACGCCATGTCATCGCTGGGACCGTCTTCAGTGGGCAACACAGCCCCACCATTGACGCCACCAGCAGTGGAGAAGAGTCCTCTTCACAGATGAGAGCCGTTACTGTATCTCAACAGCAGAGAGAGAGAGAGAGAGAGAGAGAGAGAGAGAGAGAGAGAGAGAGAGAGAGAGAGAGAGAGAGAGAGTCTGGCGACGCCGTTGGGAGCGTTATTCGGATGCTTGTGTTGTTGAGAGAGACTCGTGGGGTGGTCCGAGTATTATGGTATGGGGTGGAATTAGTCTTGCACAGAGGGTCGGCCCTGTGGTGTGCCAGAACATCGGTCCAGGGAGAGGCAATGGTGTCACAGTAGCTCGGTACCGCAACCACGAGTTTCAACATGATAACGCCCTCCCCCCCCACCCCCTGCGAGAGCAACAAGGGACTTCCTCCAGCAGAATGGCATCAGAACCATGCAGTGTCCTGCCCTCAGTCCCGATTTAAATCCCATTGAGCACCTGTGTGACCAGATTCAAAGTCGGCTGAATGACGTCCAATCAAGGCCGACAACTGCAGCTGAACTGCGTTAGGCGTTCCTCAGAGTGTGGGCTCAAGTGCATATAACCTTCATCAACCGCCTATTCTATTCCATGTATCGACGTTGCACGGCTGTCATGAATGCACTTGTCGGACACACGAGATACCGACTTGTGATGCCATTTTCTCAGAGACTAGTGTAGTGCTTCACTTTAAGAACATTTGACACTTTAATTTCAAACTTGAAGATCAGTTCTGCCAAGTTTCATCTTTTTAATATGTCTCAAAGTATGATTACAGTGTTTGGACGAATAAGGTTTCTCATATATCTATCCATGGGGATGTTTCTATTGCGGTTCAGTATATTTATTTCCAGACCCTCCTATCGGTCTTCGTCATGACTCGCTGTATTCTAGAACCTCATGAATGACAGGCTCTGTCATGACTCCCTGTAACTATGTACTTCCAGAATCTCTGCCTGACGCGGCTCTGAGCAAGATCACGACACTGAAAACAGCGGGTCCAAGGAAGTATGGACGGACAGTTGGGGACATGATGGCAGGGACACGTGTCACCCTGGACAGGTTCTATAAACCACATAACGAGGAACTTGCAACATTGATGGGCAAAGATTATTGGTGATTGGTAAAACGGGAATAGGGATATATGACCCAATATAATTCGCATGTGACAATGTTACTAGGATGAACACAGTCGCCGATATACTGCAAACATAAGGCCCAAAAGACAACTATGATACCAATGTCAAATATAGCATCATCGAATCACATTTCTTCGTGTCATTATTAGCCTCCATCAAATATGGGTATATACTTCATATTGCCTAGCAGCGCACCGAAACGTCGTACATATTGTAATAAAGAAGTTGATCATCCATAGAACTCGTCTTACTTCATCACTACAACTTCTAAATGCCACTGAAAGAACCTCACCACTGCTAACATTAAATAGTACTACATTTCTGACAACTAATCATTGTCCAAATACAATGCAATGAACTTCTACTGAATCTCAACAGAAACGAATAATACAGTTACAATCATCGTCTAACAATAAATTACACTGGCATATTGCACTTTCTAGATATCAGACATGATGATAGTTGGTTTGTTGTCTAAACTTGCGCTTTCCTCTCACATGAAGCTGTCGCGACCTATTACAACTGCAAAAGGTCAAAGCAGCGTAAAACACAACTCATTGTAAAAGGTTCTCCACCTATGACTTGTACAAACCGATCATTATTATCACACTCTTTCTATTACAAAAATAAATCAAATACACCCGAAATCTTACACTGGCAGGCAGTATGGGATACATTAGGTGACACGAGTTTACATCATACAGGAAGACGTGGCTGACCTAACGGGTCGGAGTATGGAAACAAAATGCACATATGTGGTTCATAAAAGACAGACACGATATGTTAGTGTTTTCGCCAATGTAATCCAGAGACACAAAGATGTGAAGATGTAGTCTTACTTCCTATACCGCCCAGACAATGTTAGAACGCATTTTGGGCAGAGGATTATTGGACAACGACACGATATAAAAATTGGGGAACCTGCATGGTTCCCTAACAAGATTTGTACCTTTCCCAACCAGCGATGTACTTTACTTTACCATTGAGACAGACATCATGATGAGGCCATTGTCGAAGACCAGCACCAACACCAGCAGGTTGTTCAAACAAAATGATTACTCCTCAAGAAGGATGATTGCTTATGACAACAGACTCTATGCAGGACTGGAGCTTATCAGCTATATCAGTTCTAATACTTTGATAAGGACAATCCATTATGAGACAATGACATGTGTGTGTCTTTTGCCTCAGATTGCAAAGAGTCTTGAATGTGAGGACCACTTTCCATCCCACTATTGTGAATAGCAGTAAAAACTATGTTCAACGATGGTATTCTAAAATGATCAAGCTGCAAACCTCAGAAAGTGTGTCATGTACAGTTTAATAAAAATGATATCATTAAAAGAAAGAGGTATTTCTGATATCCTGACCCATATTCTGACTGATCAACGGCAGATGGTAATTTATATACTGTTTTGATTTTGTTTGCATATCTTGTTATGACTCAGTGCTTGTGACAATAGTTTCATCTTTGTTACTTGATAACCAATAGAGATCTACCGTGTTCTCTTTTAGTCAAAGGTTTTAAGTTCGTCAGATGAAAGTGGAGACTTCAGAATGGTTTCTGAATGTTTATATATTCATCCCATATATAGTCTGGAAGACGCCCAACGCTAACACCGTTTTCGTGCGTGCGTGATGCCCGTGCAACCTTTCGAGTTGAGTTGATTGGTTCAACTGTGTCATATGGCCCTGTGACTCAGGGGTAGCATTATGCAGATGGCTGTTTCAATAAATGCTCGTTTCACCTGTGACGAACAGGTCTGGTTGTTGATGAAATATAATGATAGGTAAATAGACAGATTTTTTATTCATGCACCGAATGTCTTTAAATGTAATATCCAGTTATGTATGACTGTTTGATAATCTCATACCAACTTTGACTGGAGTAGGTCCAATAGTTTTGCAGATATTGTAGTAAACGTCGGTACCTTAAATTAACGTCCAGACTATAGATATGTGTGTGACATGCGCTTCATGTAACCCCAATGTTACCGTTCAGTTTTATTTGTTGTTGACACACATTTTAGCTTTATCATGGCTGTGTTTACATAATCGTGCATGGACCAGACACACCAATGTTTAATGCCATAAATAACATCTCACGCTGTCTCGATTCATGTAAAATGAGAGTCATCCAAGTCACAAAACCTTACCACCAGATTCAGTTAGTTGCCTCGTATGATAACATCTGTGGCTTGGGACACATTCACACCAGGATTGTCTGATTGAGTTCACTCAAACAGAAAGTATTGCAGTACTAATGTAGCGGTCATCATGCATTTGTTTAGACAATATTATATTTTCGTAACCCTTTGAATCAAAGAGTGTAGTTCCAGACTAACAATAATAATAATCATCATCAGCATCAATCCACGAAATTGGGATACGATGACATGCAATCAGCGATGTAACCGAGCTTGTCCACCGATCCATTTTATCACCTCTTACGGGAAGTATAGTTTCCTTGGGCCGTTTGTTTTTACCCAGAATTCCCACAGGTAGGTTGAATGATACTTAGTAGCATCTTTGGATGGCTATGTTTAAAATTACATACAGATGTTTAATTGTCAACATAAAGAATAAAATCAGTCCTATATATGAAAGGTCCTTTTCAGTTTTGGAATTGTGATTTTGTACAATTTGTCTCGTAACGGTCTATTAAGCTCGGTTTTCTATTTCAGGTTATTTCTTCAAGTTTAATCTGTGAAATGGGTTTTAACGTCGCTTTCAAGATTACTGCATAGCGACGTGCGTGTGTGCGTCCGTGCATGTCTCGTTGTGTGAGGGTTTGGGTGATAGCACAATCAGGCTGGTTTACGCTCGACATCAGGTCAGTGCCCTCTACACGCAGCCCAGACAGGGCCTTCTCCAAGGAAGAGCTGCTCTGGCACCGAGAAATGGGAGTCGGACAAGTTGTTTCTTGGGATGCAATCGTGACATTTCAGAATCGAGGTCCGCATATTTGCACATTGGTGTCAAAAGGAACAGAAAATTCAATGACATAAATGATTTCATTAGATTTATAAAAAAGAATAAGAACAGGTTTGTTGGCCTGGATAGGCCTGAGGCTGTGTACGGGCCTTTCCAAAAGAATTTTGTATTTATAATTTCCCATGACGCCCTCTACATATTCTGGGTCGTTACATGTGTCAAAACCACAATCATGGCGTAGACGGTATAAAGAATCGAGCCATTCAATCATGTCACTTAAGAATCTGTGTTTGTGCCAAATCTGAGCATCCACTGGACAGTAACGTTACATTGATTGCATAATCTACATATTTCCATTTTGATACAAAATCACAGATTGACGGTTTCGAGTGGGAAGTGACTGGTCCTGAGCAGCAAACAGAAAACCTTGAAGTTCTGTTTCACGTTTCAGGCCAGCCGACTTCATCCAAGCAAAGGACTCTTCAGGGTTGCTGATCCTGTCAACACCCTTTACATATAGTCGATAGCATCTCCTTGACAAACCCAACTCTGCACAACTAACACAATCCGGCTGGTAAGGTTCGAACAACCGACTAATCTCCTAAATGCTGACCAACAACAGAAACGTTCCGAACCCCAACGGTTTACCTTGTCGTCATAGCAACAATATTAGGTTAAATACAGATGGCTCCAATATATGCAACAATGAGAGACGTGCATCAGACTTGCTAATCTAAATTGTAGATTTGTTTAATGAATGTCGAAAGGGTTTTGCGGCTTTTACTTACATTTGATAAATATCTTTTTAATAACGTATTTAAAAACGCTTTTCATATCATACTTCCCATTGAAAGTTTCCCATCCATCAACAGAACCAATGACAGCTTTCAGGTCAGTAAATGCACAGTCTGCCTTAAACAGTGCTACGTATTTATTTCTTGGATATGACACGACCCCTCGGTTATGCTTGCGATTGTAAGACCTGGGAAAAAAGGTAAGGGAAAGTATGACTGTGGGCGACCCTTTCCCCTGATCTCACAGTCCCAAGCATCCCCGAGGAGGAGCGATTTATCTGACTTAGATACCGACAAACAAGGATAACAAATGTCAGAACAAATCAAGAATATATTTCAAATATCGAGCAAAAGCAAATATTGGCTCTATTGCCCACTTATAAAGAAGTGGACACAACAACATTATTACATATTCTAAGGAATGATGTCTAATATTTGTAAAGGATGACATCAAAATGTTTACCTTCTGTGCTTGATGCAGAATTGGTGTCCGAGTTGACTGACATTCTTGAATACGGTGAGTAAATCAGAAAACGTACAACCGTAAGGATAAGAACTATTAGGCTTATAACAACATCGTAACCCTAATTCTTAATGTACATCTTGCCTCTTCAAAATATCACTGTGTTATTTGTTATCAAGTACCTGTTGTTGTTATTATTAATCTGCTGCTTATCACAACATTTCATGCATGTATACCTCTTATGACTTGGTTGTAATGGAGCTTGAGAAGGGTGTAAGAATATACATCAAAACGTTGCTAATGCAATGAAACACTAGTTGTTATCCAAAAGCTTGCACATTTTCCTACACACTAACGAAATGACACGCGGTATGTGGGTTCGAATCCAACGATATGGAACTATATTAGGTAAAGTTTATTCAGGTATGACATGTTATGCCATGGAGGTACAATGCAGATGCTTTTAAGAGCTTATCAGAGAACAAATAGTTCACAAATTACGGTTATTACAATGTTTGTAAAGACATACTTCAGTGGAGGTACATGTTACTATTAAACCTATAATATCTGTGTCTGTAGGGGTAAGGTTGTTATGAAGTATATAATACCCATGTCAGTAGGGGCACAGATTGTTATGAAGTATATAATACCCATGTCAGTAGAGGCACATGTTGTTATGAATTATATAATACCAAAATAATTATACCTATGTCAGTAGGGGTACAGATTGCTATGAAGTATATAATACCCATGTCAGTAGGGGCACAGTTTGTTATGAAGTACATCATACCCATGTCAGTAGGGGCACAGGTTGTTATGAAGTATATAACACCTATGTCAGCAGGGACACAGATTGTTATGAAGTATATAATACCCATGTCAGTAGGGGCACAGTTTATTATAAAGATTAAAAAAGAAACATCAGCGCTGACGTGAACTTTATTCTGTCATTGAGCATTGAGTATTCAGTACAAAAGATCAGCAAAGTTTATTCAGGTCAATACCAATAACCCCCAAAGAACAAAAGATGACGTCACAGGATTGGAGCATACAAATCTTTACTTTAAAATCCAGATCTGAATCCTGCTTGCTCCTGTTTAATCAATTGTTTTCTATGAGCACAAAGATTAATCATTGTTAATTACTTTGTAAATAAAGCGACAAAACCCTTTCCATATCCCCCACAAAACCCTTTCCAATAGAAATCTCTGCATAAAGCAGAGTCAATTGTACGATTCCGACCATGTCATGAGCATGTGTTCATAAATCACTATCGAATAGTAACCTTTTTCATCCAAAACTGGCTCCCACAGGAGATATCGCTTGGGTGATGCAGACCATTGCAGACCATTGTGACGTCATTGGTTAAATGACGTCACAATCAAATGACATCACTAATGGCTCTGCTACTGAAGCTGTTAGCGGAATTTTTCACACTAAAGACACTGCATATTGACCTTTTTCACACTTCGCTACTTCCGGTTTGAAAGCGAGGCTTGGAGAGCAGAAGGTGAACGCTAGATAGCACATGAAACACATGGAGATGTCAACAAGGCACGCAATCCGGACAAACTGTGACAATTTAACCATCCCGGTACATTTATCGTAAGTATTGAACATTATTCTTATTCTTATCATTGACAAACTATTCTACTGTTATCTGGTCTCCTTACCGATATAAATTTAAGTCTGGCCGTTCTGTTGTGATTTCAATTTAAAATATCCATGACCACCTGGTAACTCCCAGTGCAGTTTATGGCAGCTGAACAGACTTAATACAAATGCTACTGAGGTCTAGTAAAGAATAATTCATTGTTTACACACCATTAAGCCACACTATTTATTGTGAGTTTAAATAACTTTGCGGGTTGTATTTGAAGTCGAAATATTGACCTTTTGACCATATATGTCGGAAACTAACTAAATTGATATGTTGATATAATGTATCAAATTGTAACCTACTGAGAATTTACAATCGTAACAAATCAGAATTTTGCATCAGTATTTGCATCGTATTTGATGTAAATTGTAATGTACTCAAATGCATTCCAATAAAATATTAGACCTCTATATCTACTTGTGCTGTTGTGATTGTGAACAGTTGTTATTTTGATTGTCAATGTTGACAGATTAGATAGCATGAGGTGTATTTTTTCAACTGAATTATTACATAAAGGGTGTGTAGAATATTTGAAGTAAAGTACAGTTTGATCTGCAATTTTGGTAACAATTAATATTTCTACCAAAATGATATTTACTTTACTGTACCAATTTAATCATGTCATGAAATGAACAAAACCCCAACTAATTAATGTCCAGTAAATGTTCAATCTACATGTTATCTTTATATAATTTACAGAAACAGATAACTCTTTAACAGTTTGTATTCAAATATTTCAAATGAATAAATTGATATTGACAATACTAAAAACTTAAAGTATAAACAGAATTATTTTTAATTCCCATGCGTATTGCAATCATAACTTGTTTATTCCCTTTGTTTAATTGTGAAACCCATCTGGTTTTATGTCCGCAAACATGTTTTGAAACTTTTAAAACAAAAAAGATTTCTTTTGTGCAAGCAATTGCCATGTATTATTGATTATTAATCATATCAATTTATATGTAAGAATATAGTTGTGCTTCCTGTGTCATTTTGCAATAATTATATTGTTATGATGTAATATTTTACTATTGTTAACAATCTTTAGAACTTTAGTTTCTTTCAATCAAGTCAAGTGGTGTGATCATTTTCATTTTTGTTATAATTCAATTAAAACAAGAAAAATAAGAAAAATATAAATACATAGAAGAAATTTGTTTTCCATGTCAAATAACGATGATAGCATGAATTTATCTCATCCTCCTTGTTGCATGCTCCTTGTGAAAATTCATTCCATTTCTTCTTCGAATGTACCTTATATGATGATTTTAGGGAGACAGCTATTGATAATCTTGGAGGACAAAAAACTCTACACAGTATTCTTTTTGGTGATCCAAACTTAGATGTTTTCCTGAATACAAAAATATTCTTGTCTGTACACAACTTTCAGATTCAGTAGCTAGCATATTATTGTTTCCAAACTGTTAATCATTAATATTGTTAAATCTATATTCAACACTAAAATGTATAATATTAGGATATGTATGAGATGCACACTGTCTTCACTTTCCAGCACATTGTACTGTATATATATTGCGCACTATGTTTCCATTATGTGAAGCTTCAACTGTAAATTGTTCATTTACATTATGCAATATTACGTATAACTGTATAAAGGGAGAAGGCGGTAATAAGTTTTAGACATATCAGATGAATTGATGCCTTCAAGATTGATCTACAGTAGCATGTAATGTTACACACTGTGATTAATTTTCCTTAAACTTCTCTATTTCAGAAGAATGTTGTTTTCTAAATAAGCAATATTTTGAGAGAAGGTGAATATGCATTGTTTATAAAAAAAATGTTATTGAAGTAGGAATATTATTACAATCTCATTGAATTATTCATTTCAGGCCAGCGAGTCAACACAATGAAGTACTAGTATCAGGTGATGGATGTCTGGAGGAGCTTTCTGCTGACAGTAACACAATGGTTACAATGTGCGTCCTGTCAAAGGACGAGGAAGTGGAAAGCCATATTCATTCAAGCAACAAATGTGCTTCCTGTCACATTTCTCTTAAATAGGACGAGGAAGTGAAAAACCTTATTCACTCACAAAACAACATGGCCAATATTTATCAGACATTGAAAAAGCACATTGTACCATTTGTTTACAAGCAAGAAAATTATTTTCTCCTGGAATTTAATTAAGTGCTTTTGACTGACAAAGACACCCAGTCCATGTTAAGTTTTGAAAACTTATATTGTGAGAAATAAAGTTTTGAAAATTTTGTTTTGTTTTTCTTTGTTAAATATGATATCCAGATTGTTCCACAACATTATTTGTACCGATACATATATTTTATATTGGCTTGATTACAAATTAAAGTTGATTCCTTTTTATCTTTTGTTATTTTATCTGAACTCATATCTGATCAAGACATTTTCAAACTATTCAGGATAAATGTATAAGTAGCTTCTTTTTGATATACAATTACCTATCATCATACAGGATAAGGTGAGGGTGTTCAAGAAGTTGGTAGTTGTATCAATTCTGATATTTCTTCAATTTCATGGATTATTTATATTTATCAATTTTTAGTTTCCTTTTAACTTATTTTAAACAGTTCACACATTATTACTTTTGTCGTGCACGGTGCAATCTCATTCGGCAATAATCAGTTAAGTAAGTGATGTTTGAAGAACAAGTAAAGTATCATCTGTCATTGTACACACTGAATAGAGTTATCGCCCCTTCTGAATATTTATTTTGACACACGAATTATTTTCATAATTAACTTTGTAATATGTTAAAATGAAAATTATAGCAGAAAAAGTGTCTTTTGTCAACTGGACTCATGGCAAAACGATAGTGCGTTGGGCAGCAAACACCACTATGAAACGTGAAATAAACATGATCTCGATCTTGATCTAGAGTTCGCCAAGCCATGCATTGACTGTGCAATTTTGCAAAAGTACACTGACGTGTTTTATGTTATGCAGTTTATTTACGATACAAAACTTCTGTCAGTGATTGTACTCTCACATTGTACCTATATGCCGACGAGGTTATGATAAAACAATCTATTTCTGAAATACGTATCTCGAAATGCACCTTTCGATTCACTTCCGGGATCCTGACAGCAAAATGCTAATTCCAGTGTAATACAGGCATATTTTAGTTGGACCTCATGATTTAATGTGAAATATCTTCTGTAGTAGATACAGAGGATACCATTTTTGTTTGTTTGAAATGTCCATCAGTGAAATGCACAACATGATGTCTGTTCCCTATGAGCTGATGCGACGCACACTGCATGTAGCTATGCTCTCAAAGCCTCGTTTTCGATCCAAGATGGCGAAAGTGTGAAAAAAGGTCAATTACTGTCTACAAACTGAAAAGGTTGGAAGAATGATGTTGGGTGATAAATATAATCTCACCCTCGTGTATTTTGATATGAAATATATCAACACTCGTTGATATATTTGATATCAAAAGACACTCGGGTGAGATTCTCTATATGCACGACATAACCCCTCAGTAAACACCGGAAGTTGCATGACAAAGGCCAGGATGGTGTATTATCTTCCTGAACGAACTGAAATGTATTCATTATCTGAATGCCACTCACTACATGCAGAGAAGGCATGCACTAATTCACCAAAGGAAATCCTGGTTTAACTTGGCCACGGTCATGTCACAGCCAACATGGCGAAGGGGATATGGTCTCGATTGGTGTGTCTGGCTGCGCTCCTTGTCTGTGGTATGTTACGTTTGTTTTTATTTATCAGAACAAACTTAGTATCATGCTTTCGTAATAGACTTGCACTTTATAATGTGAGAAACAAATTCACATGACCTTGTCTTAAATATATATGTCTGTTGAGTCACACTCATTTACATATTACTTTTAGGCATGTGTGACATATAATATGATTGACCTATGTTTGTTGAGTCATCTTTCACAATTCGACGTGCTTCGGTCCAATTACTAACCCAGAATCCCTCGGGGCTATTGAACACATTGTTAATCACACATCAGTGGTGTCAGTATTCCTACCAGATATAGTTAATCACATCAGCGGTATCAGAATTCATACAATGTTTCGATAATCACACATCAGTGGTGTCGGTATTCATACCAGATATGTTAATCACACATCAGTAGTATCAGTATTCGTGCCATATATTGTTGAACACACATCAGGGATGTCAGTATTCATGCCATATATTGTTTATCACACATCAGCTGTCTTAGTATTAACACCAGGCATGGTTCAGACATGTGTAGATGCAATGACAGTGTGCAATAACATTTTCCTTTTCAACCAGAATCATTTTGCAAATGAGTATTAGGATCTCCAGATATGAAGGTTTGAATATGACGTCTTGTTTTGAGAGTGACACAATAACATCGCATTACAGTGTATACCCTTGTGGACTACTTTAACTGGTTTAACTGTAGACGCCTCTACCAGGAAGTGTCAACAACAGCAGTATAATAACATGTACATCCCAAGTAGACATCCATAACGGCGAGTACTCAGTCGATACATACACACTTCTGCAATAATGAAGTATTACTGTTATCTACCCGAAAGCTCTAAGGTCAACCCTACAGATTATTAATGACGCCAGCTGTCATTGCTCTGCATGCTTCCTGTTTATGATGGGTGTATCCAAAAACTAAACATTTACTTAACAATACGGAATTTAGCCATCAATTAATATAACAAAGATACTGCGTTTAAAACTGTGGCATGAATAAAGGTACATTTAAGGATGTGCTCTTACATATACTCTTATGGGGACAATCATTTTACAGTACTACAACCCCCTTTGAGGACACAGCCACTAACCATCAAAGTTACAAATTAAAGATTACCCATATAATAAAAAAAACTATCTACACATTTCAAAACTTATCAAGTTACTTAAGTTCAATATATTTTAAAAAAACGATAATTAAATGAGAACTTATTCTAACAAAAAGGTCATAATGATTTGAAATAAGTATCCCTTGTGATGGAAAAATCAACATGCTTGACTGTGATTCTTCCATCACAAGGGATGCAGAACGGAGGATCCTCACCTTTCAACAAATAATCATAAGTGTAACGAGAATGGCCAATATTACATCGTCGTAAAATGACATCTTCAAATCTGGACTGACAACCCTAGTAGGTGTAACGAATATTTGGTTTAATGTCATGTAATTTATTAATACCTACTTGGATGTCCCACTTCTTTTGCATCAGATCTCGGATATGTGATCAAATAACGGGCTTGCAAATGGTGTCACAGATTTGTTGAGTGCTGCTTTAGCTGCAGCATCAGCCATTGTAATACCAATGATGCCAACATGGGCTTGGTAATCAGGAAAATAACGATGACTTATTGGCCAGTAGCAATTTCATTACATAATTCAAGAATTTCAATTAAAAATGGATGTTGTAAAAGACTGATTTGCAATTGCTTGAAGAGAGGAAAGAGAGTCGGAAGATATAATAAATTGTTTGTGCTTTGAGTGTTTACTAATGTATTCTAGTGATGTTAATATGGCTTTTTATTCCGCTGTAAAAATGGATCAGTTATCTGGTATTCTGGATGATATTGTCCTGGATCCAATGACAGTGTCACTGGCAATTGCGTCGCCATCCTTGGATCCATCTGTAAAGATAGATTTGTAGTAAATGCTTCTTATAAGCTTCTTAATTGATTATATTTGTGTTGATAAATTAGTTGATTTGTTGCGGATTTCTTTAGTTTAGTTAATGTAAAATCCACCTCTGGTTTTACAAACTGCCAGCGTTTTGGCTATATTGTCAAAATTTATTTTAGCAGCGGAACAATCAGATTGTAGGTATATTCCAAGTGGTGGAATAAGAGATTGTTTTGTAGGGATTGTCGTAAAGGGGATTAAAAACACACTCACTCAATCACTAAAACAACCAATAAAACAATCAATCAAACAATCAATCAACTTCATAAAACAATACAATTAATATAACAAGTAAATCAATCAATACATCAACTCAATCAAACAATTTAATAAAACAACTCAATCAAACAATTTGATAAAACAACTCAATCAGCTAACTCAGTCAATTTACCAATCAATTAACTCAAACAATCTATCAATCAAACAAACAATCGTGCTTTCTAAATGCAGGAAAATGGAAATCGAGTGACGGATGCTTGACTCATTGTAAGTCTTTGTACGCTATTGTATCTTTGCTAGGGGTACCAGTTACCAGTTTGGGCGAGACGAAGCATTGACGAAGCAAAGAGTTTAATCAGACGTCTCCTTAAGGAAGACTGGTATCACACCTGTGATCCCAGGCGATAAGAAATATGGCATTGCATAATAGGTCTTCAGCAACCCATGCTTGTCGTAAAAGGCGACTATGCATGTCGTAAAAGGTGACTATGCTTGTCGTAAAAGGCAACTAATGGGATCGGGTGGTCAGGCTCGCTGACTTGGTTGATACATGTCATCGATCCCAATTGCGGAGATCGATGCTCATGATGTCAATCACTGGATTGTCTGATCCAGACTCGGATTATTTTACAGACCGCCGTCATATAGCTGGAATATTGCTGAATGTGGCGTAAAACAACAATCAATCAATCAGTCAGTCATCAGTACTGAAAGAGACCTCAAACCCGTAACCCCTCGTAATGATGAATGTACAATAAACACTCATGTTTGAGACACACGTGGCTGTTTAAAATAATGCCTCAGGATACATTTCAGAAATGCGACTTTTACCTGTAGTCATGCAAGCTGTATGGCGGTGTTCTGTAACTTATCGAGTCTGTACCACACGACCAGACAACCCAATGAGTTATATAATCAGCCACGATTCACGATGTTTGGTTACGATGACAAGCTGTCAACCAAGTCTGACCTATCAAGGCCCGCATAGGTTCCTTGGGACATATTCTAACCCAGAATCCCCAAGAGGCCATTGAACACATTGTCAGTATTCCTACCAGATATAATTAATCACACATCCGCGGTATCAGGATTCATACAATGTTTCGATAATCACACATCAGTGGTGTCAGTTTCATACCAGATATGGTTTATCACACATCAGTGATAAGTATTCACACCACATATTGTTAAACACACATCAATAGTATCAGTTTGTTTGTTGTTTAACGCCGCACTCAGCAATATTCCAGCTATGTGACGGCGGTGTGTAAATAATCGAGTCTGGACCAGACAATCCAGTGATTGACATGTGTGCAATTACATTTTCCTTTTCAACCAGAGTCATGTTGCAAATGAGTATTAAGATCTCCAGATATGAAGATTTGAATATTACTTGTTTTGAGAGTGACACAATAACATCCCATTACAGGGTATATCCTTGTGGACTACTTTAACTGGTTTAAGTGTGGAGGCCTCTACCAGGAAGTTATATTATTCGTTGACTGCTGCTATTGTGTACATCCCAAGTAGACATCCATAACGGCGAGTACTCAGTCGATATATACACACTTATGCAATAATGATGTTTACGTATTACTGTTATCTACCCGGAAGCTCTAAGGTCAACCCTACGGATTATTAATGACGTCATAAGCCGTTTTACCACAGCTATCCACGCTTCCTGTTTATGATAGGTGTTACTAAAAACTAAACATTTACTAAACAATCACCTATAACCACAAGTGAATTTATATTATGTTGCTTTGTATTCAATATGGCGAAATATACTGCAGTAGACATTGTTCTCCTGACATGTATAATTTCTTTCAGTGGGAGGTTGCGATTGCTTGCTTCCGAAAATTAAACGTTTACAAATTGAATATTTGTGATACGTGTAAGATAAACAATAATATGATCAACTATTGCTAAGTGATGGCTTTGTCGACAAGTGATTTTCTTGTTTAATTGTCTCATCTTATTTAACATTAGCACTATTGGATCAAATAACCCGGCTGTTGGCAGACTTGTGCACATCTTATCTATATAAGTACTAGTCTTCTCTTAGTACGTGTCGTATCTAAAACTCACAACAATAGTAAGTGAGGGAGTGAGCATTCCGAGTAATCACAGCGTGGTAGCTTAATGTTGGAGGAAAGGCGGAAGCGATTTAGGCGTTTACCACTTTGATGAAACTCAAGAGCATGGGTATGGCGCTGACAAATCTGGAAACATAATGCCTTCAAACAGGGATTCGAACCCACAGTCACAGGTTTCTGACATGCCCAAGGGACGCAACTCTGCACATTGAACAGCAGCGCCTCAGACGAATGGGGCAATGAATGCGTCAGTGTCGCCTGAGCGCAGTCTACAAGAGTGAGTGAGTTTGGTTTAACGCCACTTTTAACATTATTCCAGTTATATCACGGCGTGCAGTCTACAAGAACCGGCAAGATCATGTGTGTACGTTTATGTAGGCAGGATCTATTTTGAAGATACTTTTCAATAAATACGCCGATCTAGCAATAATGCTGAGCAGATAGGACTATGGATTATATACATAACAAGCCATTCACCAACTCGGATTGATAGATTTATCGGTTAATGTAATACTCATGTAAGCGAAAAACAAAATTCAGTCGGAACAGACAATCCGCCATTCTTCGTTTGTCCACACTTATTGTTTAGTGAGTGAGTGAGTGAGTGAAATTTTACGTCACATCGGCAATATTTCAGCCATATCGTGACGACACAGTTATAATAAATATATTTAGATTGAATAAAACGCTGTCAACGATGGGCAGGACAATAACTAAAGTATCACAGTTTCGATTTTTAAACTAGTTGAGAAGATTTAAAAGAATACATTATCATTCAACAATACAAAATAAAAACGGGCTATAGATCACCAGCAACCAAAGTTCGGCCACTATACCGTGGGGACCGATGGGAGTTACAATACTTCTGCTACCTGCACCGTTTTCCCAGCAGGATTTACACCATCCCTTCAGCTTCTAGCGATGATACGGAATTCAGCCATCAAAGACTACAACAAAGATACTGCATTTGAAGTGAGTGAGTGAGTTGATATTTAACGTCACATCGGCAATATTGCAGCCATATCGTGACGAGACAAAATTTGACTTGAATAATATATATGTAAACTGTATAAAATTCTGTCGACGAAGGACAGTAAAACAACTAGATTATCACAGATATACATTGTATGTTTAAAACTAGTACATAACCATAAATGTGACAATTCATAACATTACAATAGATCAAATTGGGATATATATCACCAGCAACTAAAGTGAGGTCAATATACTTTAGTTGCGGGTGATATATAACTGTGGCATGAATAAAAGTTCTTTGAAGGATGTGCTCTTAAATATCCTCTTACGGGGACATAATTAAACAGTGCTACAACCCCCTTTGAGGATACAGCCACTAACCATCAAAGTTACAAATTAAACATTACCAATATTATAAAATATAACTAACTACACATTGTAAATCTTATCAAAAAGTTCAATATATTAAAAAAAACGATAATTAAACTTATTCTAATAAAGAGGTAATAATGATTTTAAATAAGCATGCCTTGTGATGGAAAAATCAACACAGTCAAGCGGGATATGCTTGACTGTGATTCTTCCATCAAAAGGGATGCAGAACGGAGGATCCTCACCTTTCAACAAATAATCATGAGTGTAACGAGGATGGCCAATACGACATCGTCGTAAAATCACATCTGAAATATTGACTGTCAACCCAAGTAGCTGTAACGAATATTTGGTTTAATGTCATGTAATTTATTAATACCTTCTTGGATGTCCCACTTCTTTTGCATCGGATCTCGGATATGTAACGGGCTTGAAAGTGGTGTCACAGATTTGTTGAGTGCTGCTTTAGCTGCAGCATCAGCCATTGTATTACCAATGATACCAACATGGGCTTGGTAACCATGAAATGAAACGATGACTGATTGGCCAGTAGCAATTTCATTACATAATTCAAGAATTTTGATTAAAAGTTGGATGTTTGGAAGACTGATTTGCAATTGCTTGAAGACACCAAGCAGTTTAATCTACAGGTAACCTAGCTCGACGTTGAAAACACAGTATATTTATCTCCATTCTACCATCGACCTCCACATTTGCAAACTGGCTGATTGATAGCAAGTTTAGAGATTGCTGTCCCCTTGCACACTCCACTAGTATGGAGCAATATAGGAGGCGGGAGACATTTTCTCCTTTGCCACAACAACCATTGATGGCCCGTGGAATGGCAAACGGGTTTAATTTTAAGGGCTGGTGATCTGAAGAGCTTGTATCTTAGTGTTTTCTTTTTGAACTAGAGTATTTCATAGACATAATGAGATAAAGTAGAATCTGCACCTCTTCTCCCCACCCACAACCGAGTGTCTACAAGGATGGTGTCTTATTGCATTGGATATCCAAAATGCAAAACTCCAGGGCTACAGGGGTGTTATACTCCAGCAAATGTGACATGAATATTCGTCTACTAAATTTACTGCCAAGCTGGTTCTGCCCCTAACAATAATTTAGAGACAAAATTAAGCGGTCAACATTACCAGATTGGCCCATGAGCCGTCGCCTTGTGGCATAGGACTCTAGGCAATATATTATTTCAATGATTGTGTTATCCATACCAAGCAATACATTTGTGAAAAGTAAAATACATGTATGTGCAAAAGTAAAAATTAGAATGGTAACGCACAGGGCTCAGTGTGACCAGCCGATTGATTGAACCTATCCCGGTTCCCTATCACTGTATAAGTCAACCATCTCGAAATATGTTAATTGTTCTAGTATTGATAATTTGTCCAGCATTACAAACATATGAACAGTTGTGATTAAAAATGTTAACATAACTTGAAACAATGTTTCTACTGTGCAGTAAAGTAACAACTACTATAAGTGCATGAATATGACAGTCAGTCTTACTAATGATTTCAGTAACAGTACTGGTGTTACTATATAAGTTCAGAAGTGTATTTAAAAATGTTCTTATTAATACAAGGCGAATGAAAAGTATATTGAATCATTTAAGAACAACGAAGTATAGTTATTCGAGGACATAATCAAATATACATAATCAACATACAGGTAGTTCACGGTGTATCCACCGTTCTCTGCCCAACACCCTCACTCACTCTGGTTCTTGGCTCTGTCGTTCTCAGTCTCTCAATTCGATCGATCTCATTTGGCCCGACGATAAAAGATCTCAATTCGCAAATGGAAAATGCGCTTGTTCCGTCCACATGACCTAAGACTATTTTACACAACGTTTAGGTTTTCTTCAGAAACATACACAGGCGAGAAATATGGGTACAATGTGATTTTCAACAAAGAAATCAAAATAAAATGGAACTAGTTTACACTGTCACTTATGACATACATATAGTTCATTCAGAAGACATAACTTTTAGTATTGATGAAATACTCTTCGCGACTAATTAAAGTATTGCTTATAATTCATGTCCTATCTTTGTTTTCGTAGCTGTGGGCCTAAGTATCCGACTGGTATCGCCGCTGAATAACGGTGTTGGCAGACTTGAGGTGTACTATAACGGTTCATGGGGAACAGTTTGTGATGATGACTTTGGGCAACTGGACGCTATCGTGGCCTGCAGACAACTGGGACGATAGTAAGTCCTTTGCGATCGATATATGCAAAGATATTATTTTGTCTTCGTGCTGTGTAAAATTATTTCTACTTTAACAAAGTAAGGTATGCATTAATTTTCTTTTCAAATGTTCCATGTAAAGTTTTACATGAGAGTTTAATTCTTGTTAAAAAAGAATATTTGTATTTTAAATGTTAAAGTAATCTTCAATACAAGTATCTGTAAATCAAGCATAACATGTGTTGAAAGACCGCATCATATATCCTTTTTGATGAAACCTACTTATTCATTAATAACAATAAAGCGACAAAACCAATAGAAATCTCTGCATAAAGCAGAGTCGATTGTACAATTCCGACTATATCATGGGCTAGAAAGGGATGGTACTCTCTGTTGTGTTTGCGGTTACCAAAAAATAGTTTCATTACATACATGCGTTGTCTTTGGTGGCAATAACTGTAACTGACTTCTTTCACGTACAGTAAACAGTATTCTCAATTATGTGCTTGACTGTACTATGTTTCCGTCAATACATGTAGCAGTTGCGTCCCTTGGGCACGCCAGAAACCTATGATTGTGAATTCGAAACCCGGTTCGACCCGATTATGTTTTTAGGTTTGTCAGCACGATACCCGTACTCGTGGGTTTCACCGAAGTGGTAAACGTCCGAGATCTGCATCACTTCGGGCTTTCCTCCCACATTAAGCTGACACGCCATGATATGACTGGAATACTGTTAAAAGCGGCGTTAAACCTTACTCACTCACTCACTCACTCAATACGTGTAGCATTGTGAAAACAATTGCCAAAGAAAGGAGATAAGTCAGTTTTAGTTTTTGCAGTGGTTTCAGTCTATTGTACTTGATAGTGATGGCTCAAAGTAAATAGGGTAAGTATAGCTAATATGTTATATGACTTTGAAATATATAACACATTCAAAAATTCCCAAAAAACTTCCATTTCCATCGACAGTGACACTGGAATGACACCGAAGTGGATTTCCAGCTTTGGATTTGGAAGTGGGAAAATCTGGCTTGATAACCTGAACTGCAATGGTACTGAATCATCTCTGAAACGTTGTTCACACAATGGCTGGGGAACCCACAACTGTGGACACCATGAAGATGTTGGTATCTTATGTGATGAAAGTGAGTTGGCATGAATACATTAAAGCTTCCCTAAAGTTCATTGTTCGATGTGTAGTCATTCAAAACTAAGGTACCTAACATTTGCAATCATTGTTTCCAAAGTTTGCTTTATACACTAATATGGACACGTGCGTTACATTTCACAACTTTTGAGTCACGATCGAGCTCCTCTCTAGAAAATTTCAAAGAGCGTCATGTGACGCTTGCTGAAAGGTAGCTTGATCAAAGTTACATCTTTAAAGGCCTCCTTAAAGCTTTCGAAACGTTTTATGGCGGACAGACAAAAATAATGGACTTAGCTATTTTGATACCATATGTTCCCCGTGTCTTTCAGGTGAACAAATGACTTGCCATTGCATGTGTTTGTGACAGTTGCCACCAGTGGGGCAGCATACGCTCACATTTGTGTTTATAAATCTCTATCAGGTTTTGATGATAAAAGGTGTTCGACTTGTTATAATCAAAATCTGATGGTGATTTATAAACACATGCTCATTATATTGTACATCAACTGGGATTTCAGCAGAGATTTCCTGTGGCAAGGTGAAGGGTTTTGTTGCTTTGTTTGAATCATACAATGACAGGTTCTTTCCTTTTTATCTGGGGAGGCAATACATTATACCACATAGGTAGTGTTATATGAGTGTACCTGGTTCAGATGCAGTGAGAAGGTAAACCGAATAATGGTGACACTGTTAAATACTATTGCTCTCTTGACTTTATCATTAGATATTGAAAAGTGGGAACGAAGCTTGGCGAGTAACTTTCCCAGAATAATACCATTCAAACAAAACTTAACTTGTCTGCCCACTCAAATTTCATTTTGTGGATAAATATGTCAGACGACGATTCCCTAATTACACCAATCTCATTAAAATCAGACCTTAGTTCTCGCTACTGCTAAACAAAGATCTGAGGACATCCCATTACGAGTCACGTCAGACCGACCAATGGAATGACCAATCAGAAGGCAGCTTTCTCATGCTTTACGCCACTAATTTCAAATTGGCGATTACGCTTCAAAACATATTTTGACAAATTCTCGATTACAAATTTGAAACCTGAACAAAATCATTTTGGAATGGCTAATAGATGGTCTAGATTGTATGGATTCAGTCGTTAAACGCGAAACTATCGTTCGGAATACCCCATGTTAAAGTTTTCGGGGTTGCATGATTAGAAATCACATTCCGACTGTCACTTTCCTAATCTGGTAAGCGACGCTCTAATTTATCGGTTGAAAGGTCGTTCTGACGTGACCCCTAATTGGATGTCTTCAGATCTTTGTTTAGCGGTAGCGAGAACTTAGACAGATTTTAATGAGATTGTAATTGCACTGAGTTGCCTGACGATTAGAACGAAAGTATACACCAGACACAAGTACCTCTTTCAGTGCGTGCTAAATACAACCTGTTTGTCAAATCCTTACATATCTCGAATATCGTTTTCCTGTAGTGTTGTACACATGTGAGTTATGTTGTTTAGTTCTGATAAAAAGTGTCACTTATATTGTCCAGATCCAGAACTGATGGTCGTATTAAGTCTACATATTATTTTGATGAAAGCCGACCTAATTTGCACTTTGTTTTCAAACGACTCAAACAGTGTAATTCAGACCTTCCTGTTCCTTGAAGCAATGTTCTATTCTTACAATACACTCTGCAGAGTTGCGTCTCTTTGGGCATGCCTGAATCTATGATTGTGAGTTCGAATCCCGGTTCGCTCGGTTAGGTTAATAGGTTTGTTAGCACCACACCCGTGCTCATGGGTTTCACCAGAGTGGTAAACGTCTAAGACTTGCATCACTTTGGGCTTTCCTCTCACATCAAGCTGATATGATCATATAATTGGAATACAAAAGAGCTTTTTAACCTCAATCACTCACTCTATTCTTCACATACCATCTACATATGTTGTTTTTTTTTTTAAAAGAGAGTAAGATTATACTCAACGTTGCACTGGTAGTTTTTAAAAATAAAGTTATGTGTTATGATAAATACGTAAAACAATCGGCCTTGTTTTATCGCAATGTGTATCTTTTGTGAAGATATGAAAATGCCGACGTTTCACTGATAATGATAAATGTTTGTGAGTAAAAGTGAATATTACACTCTGTGTAGATGAGGTGACGGTAAAGTTGACACCAGGGCACACAAAAGGACTTCTACAGGTGTACCACTCCGGTAGATGGGGCACGGTGTGTGATGACGGTTTTGGCCAAGTAGAAGCTTCAGTTGTATGCAGGGCTCTGGGGTACCAGTAAGTTGTCGTTCAAAAGTTTTAACAGGCACAGACACACGCACACACACACACACACGCACACACACACACACACACACACACACACACACACACACACACACACACACACACACACACACACACACACACACACACACACACACACACACACACACAATAAAAATAATAACATTCGCATCCTTTGACCTTAAGAAAGCATATATATATATATATATGGAAAAGGAGAAGGCCTTCCATGAGGAGATTTTTCAAATATTATTAAATTATTCATCGCACTACACCTATATTAATATTAACGTTTAGTTCCTACACTTGTTTTCTGTAATACACAAGACTTCTTGTGATGCTTCATTTACAGAGCTGGAAAGGTAATCGATACAAACAGCTCCATACCAATGTGGTTGGATGACGTGCAGTGCACGATGCTGAATACAGATCTGAAAGATTGCAAGCACAGACAATGGGGGGAGGACAACTGTGACCCCAGTGAAGCTGTTGGTGTCGAATGTTTTTCATTTGCTGAGGGTATGTTTGCAACAATATACTCCACTGGTCTTACATTGCATCGCCAGCAGATTGAAATTCTATGAAGAAGTGAGTTTTCCTTAAACCAGAGTTAATGATGACCCTTTTTAAACAGACAAAACGTCACACATAGCAGAAGTTACATGTCTAGAGCCAGACAGGGAAATGGACACCGGGCCATGGACCGTAGTCTCGGTTTAACGCCATCTTCTCATCAAATATAGATGTATAACAACATACTGTATTTTGTTCTATGTGTCACTTATTTTATATTATTAAAATTGCGTGCAATTCAAAAATAAGACTGTTAAGTCAGATATTGTGTAAGTTTGGTTTTGTATAATGACAGAGTCTACAGCGACAAGACTTGTCTCCACCACCAACACGCCAGGGGAGGGAGTGCTGGAGTTGTACTATGACGGGCAGTGGGGACGAGTCTGCTCTACTGGGTTCGGGGTGGAAGAGGCAACAGTTGCCTGCAGAATGTTGGGACACAACACGTAATATGACTAACTTCCGCATCATATATTGTATTGTATCTGGAGAAGACGTATGTGTAACGTGAAAAATGTTAAGTTTTAGTTGATGGAGCATTATTTTGTTTATTCGCCCAAAATGGATCACTCACATTGTCCATACTTTTTATTTTATGCAAACATACACAAACAATTACAGGCATCAAGCTAGTGGTATTTAACTTAAATTTGCCACAGAAATGAAGATAAGATCGTTTGAATTAATGAAGTAATCAGACGCACATGTAAAGTCATGAGGTTGATGGGTGCATGCCATGTTTCCCCAAATCTGGCAAGAGGTGACAGAATTTTCAGTCGTTTTACCTTCCCATGTCGCTTGGGCGCACTCGTAGTATCACAACCGGTGTATACATGCAGAGCATGAGACAGAGCGAGTTCCCCGACATCAATCAACCTTTTCTTGTAACCAGTTCTGGTGTCAAAGAAATGTTCATGTTCTTCATCTACTGTGCACAATGGAGGAGGATGAACAAAATGGCAGTATCTTGGCTCTTTACTCTGATATACTTGTAGTTCTGGTTCCTGGCGCATTCACAAGAAAAGATGGAATCTGTCTCTTCCTGGGAGGATTTGAGGATTGGTCTTTCTGTATTCCGTGTTCTCAGAACATCATCAGAGGTGAGTTGATGTGCAAGGTTTCACATACGACTGTCACTTGTTTACCTTGAAGTTTGTTGTCACAAGAATCGTGGCTCTAGAGTGGCGTAAGAAGAATGATAAGCTTGTTCATATCATTAGTTAGGAACTGTTTCCCATCAGAAGGATTCCCTCTTGACAATGAAGTTTCTCCCCACGTCTTGACAACATAGTTGTCAGTGCTGAACACAACATCGCCGGTTTTCGACATTTTATCGAGCACTTTCTGGCTAATGTGGCTGAAGTTACTGGGAATGTCATTCAAGTAGTAAAAACAGGTTATTGCCTTCATGGAACACAAGAGATGCATTTGCAAGAGGGACATTCGCATCCTTGAGATCCTTGGCCAGGTCTTTGACTGGTCTGTCTTTACTGGGAAAACGTCTGCAGTCCCGATACTGTAAGGCACAGGAGTGAAAGGATATTTCAGCAGTTCCTTCAGATTCAGTTATATTCCTTGACCTTGGGATGTGTCACATGTCTGCCTTATGGTCCGAATCTTCATCAGGATATGACAGCTGCTTAATCACTTTCTTTTGTTTTTGTTTGTTTGTTGTTTAACGCCGCACCAGCTATATGGCGGCGGTCTACACATAATCAGGTCTGGACCAGACAACCCAGTGATTGATGTCATGAGCATCGATCCAAGTAATAGGGATAAGATGACATGCACTGATCACTATCTGTGGGCTCCTACTCTGGGTGGCATAGCAGTCTGGCAGATTATCAGCTTGCACTGGACAAAATATCATCCATTCCAACATTTCCAAAACTTGGAAATACCGTCATTCCAATTGGAAATATGACCATTCCAAAATTTGGAAAGGTCATATTTCCAAGCTTGGAAATGTTTGGAAATGTTTGGAAATGTTTGGATTTGTTTGGATTTGTTTGGAAATGTTTGAATACATAGGTGATTTTATGTCTGCTTCTTCTGTCTGCTGGTTAAGCTGTTCAGATCGTTTCCAAAGTGGATTTGCTGCAATATTCTATCCCAACGCTTTAGTTGAATACATAATACTGTTTATAAATGTATTTGACGGTGCAACACATCAAGAATTTACTGCCGCTTCTTCAACTTGTGTGCACTTGAGATTATTATTACGTCGGTAATGCACTCTTTCAAGTGCATCTTTGGCTTAAAGCTTCAAACGAATGCTTTCATAAAATACCCCATTAGATACTTTTCAAATGTTAGGATGTGTTGGCAACACATCATGGTTTTATTGCCGCTTCTTTCAGTTCGTAGGCTTGTATAACGGAACATGGTGGACTTATATGTCTACATATTTGATTTTATGTCACCAAGCTCATTTGTCGATGAAAACATTTCATCTGTAATACGTTACATAAGTGTATCATACTTATGGCCATCATATATTTTGGCAATATTTAGATATCGCAACACATCATGATTTTATTTCAAAGATGCAAAATAAAGGTCACTGAGGGTAGATTTTTTATTTAATTTGTATATAGCGTAGTACAGTGAATTTCTCTTGGTTGTTTAACAAGCTCACATAAAAGATGTAAGCCTCAATAAATTAAGAATTATGTTTCTACTGGTGCTTCTTCTGGTTCTCAGTTTGTTGTTGCGCTTTGTTCAAATATTTTGTAATATGAACTTAGCACCATAAATGATTTGAAATTTATCACAGGATGTACACCACCACAAGAGAGGCATCGTGGTTTTACTAGTGCTATTTTACAAATCGAATATACCTTTATCAGACATGGCGATGCGATTGAACACCGGATTGGTACCCTGTTATATATGGCTGTTTCCCTCTCTGTTTCTCAGAACTAATCCATAAATTGATAGCATTATAACTAAACTGCTGTCGAGGTGTTCATTCCAAATCTTACATTTCACCAAGCCATGCAGAAATAACAAAAATACAAAACACAGGATGAACGTGAATTTATATTCAGGATATCATGTCATAGTTCAAGGTATATGTACAATAAATAACACTTGGGCACATCACTGGGTAATGATCATACATGTATACAATTATATCTACAATAATACACATACAAGAACTAAAATATAGAATGTACAATTAAAATTTCTATTTAAAGCAAAACTTTACAACAACAATAAACCAATAAATTACACACACACAAATCTGTCCCTTGGTGACACAAATGTAACTGTCCTGGTACCTATTTGTCCCTCAATTTTGACGAATTTACCCTTAATTCGTTGAATGGGCATAAACGAAGATGGACCAGAGTCAACATACATGGAAGAGTGCCAGGCTTCCACTGGTCGGCCACAATGGTTTTTTAGTTTATCTTCAAGTTCCCGATACCATTGAACTTCTGCAAGGATGTGTCTCTTCTCTATGCCGTCAACTCTTGCTGAGTGCTGAAGGTATCTCAATACCTTTCCAGGTCTCGGAGAAACCCCCCAACCAATTTTCCCGTCCCCGTCTGTCCAGTAGGCAGTGATGTAAGAAGATCTCACACTTTGAGACTTGGCAGATCCAAAGACTTCTGATCCAAGGTATAGAGTTTTTATTTCCCTAACGGCCGGCAAAGTCTCGACTGTTTCGCCATAGAGGGCTCTGTACATTTCTTGAAGGGAGTGTTCATCATTTTCAGTGAGGCCACGGACTTTATATTTTGAAAAAATGAACCTGTCAATGTCAGTCCACTGAAGGTTTTCAATGTGATGAAGTCGGGATGACATCTGTCGGAGCTGCAAGCATTCACTTGAATTAATCTTGCCAAGAGTACCCACTTTAATGTTAGCTGTAACAGTGGCGATGATCGGCTCAAGGGTGTCTCCAAAGTGAAACTCGTCATCTAAGACCAATCCAAGGAGATGAGAATGGCTTACGAAACGTCTCATCAGCTGCAGTTCTACGCTTTTCTTGTTAGTTGTGTAGTCGCCCAGCATACCATTAAACCGTTCAAAACTGAACAGCCAAAACGAGTAAATGGGTCCAAAGTCCTGAACACACTCAATCAGATGACCATGCAAGTGCATGTTAGGGGTAACTCTGTCACGGCCATATAATCGCTCAAAATTCTCACAGAAGCGCATCAGTAATAAATCTGCCATTTTTATGTCATTTTCAGTTAATACTCGGCAACACAAATATCTACAGGCCAATACAAAATTTCGCCAACATTCTAAATGATCATCAGAAATAACATCCTTCAGTGCATACACAGAAAACAGTAACGTCCAGTTTTTAAACTGGTCTGCACTAAACCCTGCAAAACCGGAGGAAATCTTATGTGGGATGCGACCAATGTCACTTGGACAGTTAACTGCATCCACCTTTGCTTGGATAGTGTCTAAGTTCTTGTCAGTTAGTACACCAGTGTCTCTCCATACATGCAACATATGTTTTGATGTCCCCAGAAACAAATTGTGCATAGGGTCCACAACAGACATTTTGATCAGATCAAGGTATGGCAGCTCAGACAAGACGGAGTATCTTGTTCCATACGAACTCGCAAGTGCTTCTCTATCTGTCTTGGTTCTGGCACTTGTGATGTGTCTAATTTCTCGTATATGCTTTTCATGGGTGCGAGGTATCCACTGAGTTCTGTCAAAACCACTGTAGTCTCTTTTGCCGAATTCACCAGGAAAAGACTTCTTGCACCGAGAACACCCTTTGACGGCTGCATGTCCCAGAAAGCCACATAACTTTCGGCAAGCAGGGATATCACATCCAATGCACATTAAGGCCAAGCGAAATATCTTAGAGTTGAATGAAAAACCTACTGTCCATGCTTCAAGAAGCTCATCAACTAAAGGTTGTACAAAACTGTTTGTAGGGGGTTCTTTCTTCATGTGCGGTATAATACCAACAATGATAACATTCTCACGTTTGTAACGTTCTTCTCGAGGTAGATTGAGGATGACTAAATACATTACACCTACAGAGTATTTGACGTGTTTGAATGGCTGAAACCAGTCTAAATTAAGCATAAGGCCATAGTTTCTCTTCTTCTTCAAATATGTCCCACTGAAGCTCTTCCAGATACGACCATCATACACGTCATGCAAAGTACCATCACTAACGACCCTGTCACGCCATTGTTCACATTTCTCCTCAAAACCTGGTCTTGACAAAAAGTTAAAAAGTGAATCTTTCAGAGATTTAAAATAATAGTTCTTATGTGGTACAAGCTTCTTCTTGCCAGAGGAAAGGGTCATACTTTGTAACAGTTGTGCACCACAAGGCTGGCGATAATGTCTCATTGGGTGATTAGGTTGGGAGACGTTTGAACAAGTCATACTGACTTCTTCTCCTTCGAAAACAGAAATACAGTCAGAATATCTATATATGCTACAGCATGCTGGGCAT